TACCATTTAGTACAATTATTTAGTACATATCCAAACCCAGCTCCATCTCTCAACTACAGACACTAACAATGACATCCCTATCAAATTTCAGGATTTCAGCTCTATTCCTTCACCCAATGTCAAATTTAGTACTATTAAGTACTTTTTGTACAACTAGAGTACAAATTTCAATCCCCAACCAACAGATAATAAATATCAAATTTCAGAATTTTAGCTCTATCCCTTCATTTAATTTAGTACTACTTAGTACTTTTCGTACAATTATAGTACACTTTTCTAAAATCACCGTCATATCTTAGCCAAAGATACCAACAGGGATCTCAATACCAAATTTGAGGATTTCAGCCCTATCCCTTCACCCAATACCCAATTTAGTACCATTTAGTACCTTTCGCACAAATATAGGCCGCATTTCCAATCCACCACCAAATCTTAAACACAGATACCATCTGTAATCTAAATATCGAATTTCAGAATTTTATCTCTATCCCTTCACCCAATACCAAATATAGTACCATTCACTACTTTTCGTATTATAATTTTTTATGAATAGCATTTCAATAAATTGTAATTTTTCTCACGCAGTCAAATTAAATTAAAATATTTTCTCTTTTTAAAAAAATTATTAAGAAAATGTTATTGTAAGCACTTAATTTGGCTGATAAATCCAAACCATTCATATTCATAAAACTTATGACAGAATTATAAAGTTGTGGCTTCTTTTTGCAACTCGCCTAACTGCAGCTAGTTATCAAAATATCAAAAAAACATCTAAGCTTTCTTTATAATTGGATGTGTGGTTGGTTGATTGTTGTAAGAATACGCTGCTACTGCTGCTACTTGCTTGCTCGTGCATTGCAATTTAAATATCCTTCTCATTCTTTTTGCCGAACGGCTAAAAGGACGAGCGAGATGCTAGACAAATAAAAATCATTTATAATGAGAAATTTTGAATAATTTCCTTCATCCTGTTGAGTTAGAGATTTCAATTATTATTCATGGCTGGTTGTGTGCCCGCACACCACACACATTCATATCTTTCCACACGACATGAAGCAGCCAGCAGTATGTGTAACACACTCTCACTCTCTCTCTCCCGTTCTCTTTTGAGACATATTCGCCATTCATGCATTGTGTGTTGATGGTATCTTCATTTTCCCTGGCATTTAAGTTGATGCCATTTAATTTAATACACTCCAATCTATCACTCCCTATTACTGCTGGCAAGATCCAAGAGACGAACCAAGAAGAAGGCATCATGATTATGCAGATAAAAAGTTTGGGGAAGAGGATGTAGTGAGAGATTGTAAGGAAGTACTAAAGAAATTTGGATATATACAACGAATTTGTCCCACTTTACAGTAAAATAAATAAATTCAAGAGGGTAAGGAAAATCTGCATGACTTGACTGAGTGCCCACACAAACTTGTACACCCGTGTTAGAAAAAAAAAACCTCTAAAAGGATTACAAGCCAAATGGGGAATTTAAATTAAAACTTCGATTCGTGATGTTGAGCTTTCTTGTTTTCCCTGAGAGTACATTGTATGCCAGGATTGCCAGATGGAATATCGATTTGAATAGAAATGTGCTGCAAGCATTGCAGGAACAGGAACATAGACAAACAAATAAAAAATCGTTAAGTTCGCCTGGTTTGAACCTTTAATAACCTGACTTTGAGGTAAAGAAATCTATTCAAAAAAAGTTTTGCGATTTAATAGTTGAGCTGGTTTAGGTTTGCCAGCAAAATAGATTAAAGAATACAGCAAATTTTCAAAATACCACAAAGTAGGCAATAGCATTACATGGGACTGCATCATAGGAGCTACACCTAGGCAAATTCCTACTTCAGAAGATTTTATCTATTGCGTGATTCTAAAACCATTTTTTCTGAAAATGCGGTTAAGATATCAAAAATATAAGATTATTTTGAGATCCGCTACGTGGTGGTATTACTTATTTAGACAAAAAGTGGACATACATATACCAAGTTCTGCCACAGGGAGTAAAACGCAATAGAACTGTATGTGCAGAAATAATTCAATTGAATCGTCCAAATATCGAAAAGCGGGAGGTACAGTTATATGGGGGTAAACTTGGACCGACAAGGCTTCATTCAAACTGGCTACTGACAAAGTAAATTTTAGACTTCATTACCTAGTTCCGCGGACTCCGGTCGTTTGTATGCATAATCTGCGTATGAGTGACGTGAAATATAAAATGTATGAAATCACTCATACGCACTGGTGTACTGAACTAAGAACTAAATTGACACAGCTCTACCCTTTACCCAATACCAAATTTAGTAACGCATATCCAAAACAAATAGTAGTACTTTTCGTACAATTATAGTACGCATTTCCAAAAACACCTTCATATCTTAATACCAGATATCATCAGAGAATTAGTATCAAATTTCGAAATTCCAGCAATATCCCTTCACCCAATACACAATTTGTACCACTTCGTACATTTCGCATAATTATAATACACATTTCCAAAACGACCTCTATATCTTAATTACAGTTACCAACAAGTATCTCAATATCAAATTTGACGATTCCAGCCCTATGCCTTCACCCAATACCAAATTTAGTACCATTTAGTGCTTTTCGTACAAATATAGGACGCTTTCCAAATCACCGCCAATTCTAAAACACAAATTTCAAAATTGTATTTCTATCCCTTTACTCAATACCAAATTGAGTACCTTTCAATACTATGCCTACAATTATAGTACACATTTTCAAAACCAAATCTATATCTTAATCACAGATACCAACAGGAACTTCAATATTATATTTGAGGATTCTAGCCCTATCCCTTTACCCAATACCAAATTTAGTACCACTTTGAACTTTTCGTACAACATTTAGTACGCATTTTCAAATCACCGCCAATTCTCAAACACAGATACCATCAGTAATGTAAATATCAAATTTCAAAATTTTGTCTCTAGCCCTTCACCCAAATCAAATATAGTACCATTCAGTACTTTTCGTACAATTATAGTACACATTTTCGAATCGACCTCCACTTGCCCAGCTTAATCATGAACAGCGATCGAAATATCAAATTTCATATTTTAAGTACTATCTGTTCACTTAACACCAAATTGTACCAAGTATAGTACAATGTAGGACATGTCGTAGCACACATTTCCAAAACCAACTTCTATTTTGAAACCTACCAATAACAGGGATCCCAATATCAAATCTCCGAAATGCCAATTCTAAACCTTCAACCAATACCCACTTTAGTAACACTTAGTACTTTTCGTGCAAACCTATCCCTTTACCCAAAACAAAGTTAGTATCATTTAGTACTTTTGGTACAAATTAAGTAAATAGTTCGGAAAACCACTTACATATTTCAGATTTCAGGCATTATCTGTTTACCAAAAACCAAATTGTACCAAATATGGTACCATTCATAATATTTCGTACAAGCCATCTCTGAAATGTTCCGAAGCCATCTCCATGCGTCCACACAACACATGAACTGCGACTCAAATACTAAATTTCAGATTTCAAGCACTATCTGTTTACCCAATACCAAGTTGTACTAAATATAGTACAATTTAGTACTTGTTGTGTACTCATAGTACATATTTCCAAAACCACCTACAAACCACAAACCTACCACCAAAAGGGACCCCAACATAACATTTTAAAATCCTAGCTTCTCCCTTAACCAAACTTTTCCAAATTTAGTACCATTTAGTACAGTTCGCACCACACTTAGTACAAATTTCAAATTCCACCTTCATATATCAAATTCACCTTGATTCGCATAACAAATTTCAAGTTTTTAGCTCTTCACATAGTACCAAATGTTACCATTTTGGAAGTTTAGTACCATTTCACAAATTTTAGTAACCTTAAAGTTCGAATATTCAAAAACCCTTTGGTACAGCTATCATGCACCCCATCAGTGACTCTCATTCCTAATTTCAGATATTCCAAATTCCAGCTCATTCCGTTTGTCCAATACAAAGTATTAGTCATTTTAGTACTTTCCGCATCCTTTTAGTGCGAAATTTTCTAAAACCCAGCCCAGCCTACGCACCAAGACTGACCACCGTGATTATCGTTCAATTGCTGTAATCTCGTCTCATTAAATATAGTAATTGAAGTTCGTAATAGGCACTACAACCTATGACAAAAAATCGTGTACGTAGGTCCTCGTCGTCGTATAGCCCCCATAGAACGATACCCCCGGATATTCGTCATTTTGATGATATTAGCGACATTTTTAACCGGAATTGTTTCAAATTCGGTAGCTATGGTTCGTAATGGGCACTAAAACCTATAAAAAATCGCTTATGCAGGTTCTCGTCTTCTTATAACCGCCATATAACAATACCTCCCGATATTCGGTATTTTCAGCAGAATTGTTTAAAATTTCGTAATGGTACGCAGTCTATGACAAAAGTTACTAATGGATGAACACGTCGTCGTATAACCCCCATATAAGAAGAACAATTTGAGGGTTTTTTTTTTCTACGGAACGATTTGGAATGTTTAAATTATTCAAAGTTCGGCCGAGCGTGTTTTACTTTTTATGTTCTTAAAGAATGAAATCACATTCAAACCTGCACATTGATAAGTCAATCGGTCAGTTCGCCAGTCTCAAAGTCATCACTTGCCACTTGTATTCAAATATAGAATATAGCTACCAAAAACTCCCATTTCTTTTATCTCCTCCATCTCTCATCCACGTGGCAACTTCAAGGCAAAACGTGGCATTTTTCTGCAATAAATATTGTGGCACATCCTCTCAAGCATAGCTTTCGAAACAACAATGTGGTGCGTGAATTAACTATTTTCTTTCAGAGCGAACAAGAAAAGTGTAAAAACAATAGCAACAACAACAGCAACAAGACAAACAAAAATACGCCATGTTCAAGTGGTACCATAACAAAGCATGGATGAATACGTGTACTCTCCTGCTGTACTTTGTTGTAATTTTTCCCTTTTGTTCTTTTCGTCTTTTTATATAGCTTGGATCCTGGGCTGGCTTATGTGCAAGACGGTACCTTACATACAGGGTGTGTCGGTGGCAGCATCCGTTTACAGTCTCATAGCTGTGTCGTTGGATAGGTAAGTCCATGCAAAAGCAAGAAAACTCATTCAAAATCTCCTTTCAACATCATTCATTTTTTATTTTCATTTATTTGGGGGGAGTTCTTTTAACATTCTTGGATTTTTTTTTGGGAGGGAGGGTACATTTTATTGGGTATGAATGGTGGAGTAGGAAAACGGAAGTCGGGAACCAGGGTCGGGAACCGTTTAATGGTGGGCTACAACGGCGGCATGGGCATGGTGTACAGGTACAACTGGCACTACAGGTTTCACGGCAACCGGAACCACCGGCTTGGCCACCACAACTGGATGGGCAACTACAGCCTTAACGGGAGCTGGGTGATGAATAACGTGTCTGGTCGTAAATTAAGGAAATTAGTATTTAGTCCTCCTCGCAGACAAATGAAGCCATAAATACTTACGAGTGCACGGCATGGGCACCATGATGATGTATTACCGGAGCATGAGCCACCACAGCATGGCCATGGGCAGGAGCCACTGGAGCAACTACAACACCGGGAGCGGCAACCGCAAAAGCCAGGACGGACAAGACCAACAACTATAAAACAAGAATAGGAAACAGAAGAGGAAAACAATGAGATCCGCAGACACACAGGCTACAACAAGAGCAACGCAAGGCAACGCATGGCGCCCAATTGAAATTATGAACTCATACGACACTGCCACAGGACAGGCTGCGACAGGATAACAGACTTACAAGTTTGAACATGATGACGGGATTTTAAGTGCTTGCTTAGCAAATGGAGTTGAAAATTTGTTTCGCTGTTACGCTAGATTGGCAAATGATTTGCAACTGATGTCGAACATAAAATTCCAAATTGCTTTTATACGCTTTGCGAAATGTTTCAAAAAAAAGTGCTCCTCGCAGATTATAGTTAGTTAAATGAGAATATTATTAAAGTAGTTTTAAATGCAAAGAGGGGTCGGGGGGAGAGGCAGACAGACAGACATGAGGCTGAAAATGGGTGTGCGTACATTGGTCTTTGCAAAGTAAACATTTAAAAACTGGATGACCGCCGTTAGAATCAAATCAACTACCGGCCTATGATAGTAGCCTGCCTTTCCAATAGAACCCACACACATACACACACGCGGGCAAACAAAAGCGCGCGCAATGCACGGAACTCAAGGAGACATCACGTCGTTGTCAAACATTTCCAAACGACCAAATCTCAAAAAATAAAAAAAAAACTAGCAGAACAACAAAAACTGAACAAACACCGCCACTGACTTTGGGTACATTAAAATAGTCGTCCCCTCTCTCGCTCTCTCACCGCCAATAATAAAGATAAAATTCGAAGCCAATGAATCGAAACAGTTTGAACTTAAATTGAATGCAAGTTTAATGTCCCTCACTTTTTTTGAGAGTTGTCGCAAATTGTTATGCTCTCGCCGGCAGCAGCTACGACATCAGCATCATTTCCAGCGACAGAATTCGACTCGTGTTCGTTGCGGCCATAAAAAATGCATTTCTTGTTTGTAATCAAAATAAAAAAGCTGATATTGCATTACAATCTTGAATTGGCGCTAACGTTTTTTTTTTTTTTTCTTTCTTTTTTGTTGTGCTCTAATTTTTTTCCGAAACGGTTTTTATTTAACTTTCCAATTCGTAACGGGGGTTGTGGCGGTTTATTGAGTTGGTTCGGTGGGAATTTATTTTCTATTTTTTTTTCGAGTCGATATTATAGGGTGCACTAAATGTTACACTATTTTATTTTACGTTAAAAAATATACAATTATTAAGCGCTCGAGAAGTTTTTATACGTTTGGAATATTTGAAGATAGAGGCCACATTATTTTATGTAGAGCTCTGAAATTTGATACATATATATCTTATATCTAAGAAAAAGGGTTATATTGGTGTACGCTAAGGTATGAAACCCATATTCCCTTCAGATTTTCAGATTATTGCAATTTTTACCAACAAACAACAAATTTAAGCGGATCTTAGGTGAGCGGTATTGTAACTTGGCAATATCGGTTATCCACTGTTAGCTATGGTGCCAAATATATCCCTAACCCGATTGTTTTTATGAATCTAAGATTTAAATTGTATGTAAAATTGAGTTCAAGATAGAGCCTACAAAACTGCAACCAACTTCAGACAGCTGTCATTTCTAAGCCACTCGTCCGACAGCTGTTAAAATTATTCCAGTTACAGCTCATTATCTTGTTTACAAGCGTACAAAAGCATTTTTGTGAGAATTTTCCAAAAAAAAAAGTTCTTCGTGATGGAATTCAAGCGTGATAGGGGGATTTCTTTACATTTAGTTGGAAAACCACAAGTGGCTATCGTTTGAGCACTCCAGCATTTAAAAGTAAATACAATTTTTCTTTGTCTCGTACCATCGTTCGTTACCGTAGCGTAGCCCGACGTCAAGAAAGTGGACGAAAAAAATAAAACATCAGCAGAAATGTTTCGAAAAGTAAAGAAATGACTTGATCGAAACCCGCGTCGCAGTGGTCCGAAAATGGCTCGTGAGCTGAATATATCCCAATATTCCATTCGGCAAATATGGAAAAATGAGTCATTGAAATTCCAAAAAGTGCAAGAACTTACACCTCAACAGAAAGAAATTAGACTCAAAAGAGGTAAAGAGTTGTTTTGCTTGGACGAAAAGTGGTGTCCGTCACCGATGAGAAAAAGTTCGTTGTCCACCAGTTTGTAAACAAAGAAAATTATCGTGTTTACTTGCCAAAGAGGTTAGCTGAAAATGTGCCCTTCGGTTGGCCACCAGAACTTAAGCGCTCATATTAATCGGCCGTGGCATCAGAATATATGCCGAATATTATCGCGAAAATATTCTGGAGGGTGTATTAAAGCCTTGGGCATGCAAACATTTTGGCTGCAGACCTTGGACATTCCAACAGGACTCAGCACGCGCCACCCAAAAATGGTTACAAAATGAGGTTCCTCCTGTGTTAGGTACTTGATGGAGTGGTGGTTAAAAAAGAGGTCTCTCGCTTCACTTCCAGCGCACAATGGCAACCAAAATCTCTGCATACCAATCCGTTGGACTATTGTGTCTGGAGCATTTTGGAGAGCAAGGTTGGCATTACAATCTACCAAAGTGTCGATCACCTCAACAAGCGCTTCACCAGGAATGGGCCAAAATACCGCAGAGCAACATTCGGGCAGAGTGTGACGGCTTCATTGGCCGTTTGAAGGCCATAATTTGTGGCATAGGTGACCAATTCGAACAAATCTAAATTAATTCTAAAATTTGATGCTATTTCCGAAATTTTTGGCTTTCATTCAATTGGAATTTTAAAATTATGGCGTTTGAGTTTGTTGCTCACCCTGTATGCAGATTTTTATCACACCCTGTATGCAGATGGATTCCTCTAGTTTGAAATATATTTCGAAATATTTAGGATACAGTTTTGGATTTTGATAGAGATTGTAGGATCATTGGTACAGAAAATGGGTCATATCGCTCTACTCGAGAAGACCCCATGGAAGGATAACAGCAATTTCAAGTATATGTTTATACCCTACACCACATAGTGGTAAGGGTATTATGTCTTTGTGCATTTGTTTGCAACATGGAGAAGGAAACGAGATAGACCCATAGTTACTTTTGAGAACCTTCATAGAATCACTTTCTGAGTCGATTTATGCATGTCAGTCCGTCTGTCCGTTCGTCCGTCCGTCTGTCCATGTATTCTTGTGAACAAAATGCAGGTCGCATTTATTATCCGATTGAGATGAAATTTTCCAAACAATATTTTTTTGGCCCAAGGACGAACCCTATTTAAATTGGTGAGAATCGGATCAAATTTAGATATAGCTCCCATATATATCTTCATCCGATTTCGGGTTAAATGTGCACCAAATGTCCACTATCAGTCCAAATTACCTGAATTTTGGCACACCCAACCGAGTTCGGCCTAAAAGCAAGTATATCAAATTTGGAGAAAATCGGTTCAGATATAGCTATAGCTCCCATAAATATCTTTCATCCGATTTGATCTTTAAGTCCCTCACATTCCTACTATGCACTCCACAACAGTGATATTTGGTACCAGGTAATAGATGGAGCACAGAAATAGCTGTTTTAAATTTTATCGAAATGGGTTCAGATTTGGATATAGCTTCCATATATATCTTCATCCGATTTCGGGTTAATTGGCCACCAAATGGCCAATATCAGCCCAAATGGCCCGAATTTTGGCACATGTGACCGAGATTAGCCTTAAAGCAAATACAACAAATTTGGAGAAAATCGGTTCAGAAACAGCTCCCATATGTATGTTTTATCCGATTTGGTGTTTAAGCCTCTCACATTCGTAATATGCACTCCACAAGAATGATATTTGGTACCAGATAAAAGATACAGCCCAGAAATAGCTGTTTGTAATTTTATCGAAATCGGTTCAGATTTGGATATAGCTCCCATATATATCTTCATCCGATTTCGGGTGATTGACCACCAAATGGCCGTAATAGCATCAATTTTGGCAAATCCGACCGAAACCAGCTTAGAAGCAAGTACACCAATTTTAGTAAAAATCGGTTCAGATATAGCTATAGCTCTCATATATATCTTCATCCGATTTCGTGTTAATTGTGCATCAAATGGCCAATATCAGCCCAAATGGCATGAATTTTCGTACATAAGACCGAATTCAGTCTAGAAGCTAATACGTCAAATTTGGAGAAACCCGGTTCAGAGATAGCTATAGTTTGTAAAATGCACGATAGAATTAGATAGATTTTGATTTTGTACCAAATATCTCATAGAGCTCTGAATTGCCCTGTATAAACCTTTTTACGAGATCTCTACTAAATATGCATAGTGGTGTAGGGTATCATATAGTCGGCCCCGCCCGACTTTTGAGCTTTCCTTACTGGTTTTATATTGCATGATTTCTGAGGAATCTTAATCCGAAAATTTCCAAAAATGTGAAATGGGGGGACTTATCGCAATTATTTAGGCTACTTTGTCTACTTTCATAATCTGCTGGATGTTCCCCGTATCATAGTTCATCATAGTGGTTTAAAGATTTTTGTATATAAACGCCGTATTATGCTCAGTACTATGTTTTTGAGTTTTGTGTGTGATACCATCATAATGTTTGCAAATTAATACCGTTTTCATCACTTTCCTCCACATGAAAGCGTTAATATTATTCAAAGCTGTCAATGGATGTTATTTTGGCATAAAACCGAGTTGTTTGTAAAAAAAAGAATTATTAAGTTTTCAACTAAAAACCAAACGATTTTGGTATGAAAAATGTATTTATTTTTAGTTTTGGGAGTATTGATTGAAAAGTTTGCCACACGCGCAAACGAAGGGGTTTATCCGAAGCACCCATCATGCGTTTGAATGTAGGGGGGACCACAACATAAGATTTATCGTCATGCGTGTGACAAAATGACTTTGCTGGCATTCGATCATTTATCAAATGAAATAAAATTCCAAACTTTTGTTGAGGTTTTGAAAAATGCTTGATTTTCTATCAACTGTAAATTCAGTTAATAAATATAAAAGTTTAAAGTTCATCGAAAACTATTGATTTTAGTTACAGAGTTATGGAAAAGTGGGGTTTTATGTATATTTAAACCATTTCAGGCCACGAGAATAAAATAAGGATCCCTTCCTATGCACATATAATAAATACTGGGGACTTTGAACCAGTCAAAAGCTAGGAATGAAATTAAGAAAAAACTAAATTAAAAATTAAATTTAAGTATTTAAAAGCAAAATAATACACGTAGTCGCATTAACAGAGCTGGGTGGTACAATGAACTGTCAAATCATTATACCCTACACCACATAGTGATAGGGGCATTATGTCTTTGTGCATATGTTTGTTATATGGAGAAGGAAGCGTGATAGACCCATACTTTTGAGGATCTTCATAGAAGTACTTTCTGAGTCGATTTATGGATGTCTGTTCATGTATTCTTAGTAACAAAATGCAGGTCACATTAATTATCCGATTGAGATGAAATTTTCCAAACAATATTTGTTTGGCCCAAGGACGAACCGTATTGAAATTGGTGAAAATCGGATCAGATTAAAATATAGCTCACATATATCTTCAACCGATTTCAGGTTAATAGTGCACCAAATGACCAATAAAAGTCCATAATCCTAAATTTTGTAACAACCGACGGAAATCAGGCTAGAAGCAAGTAGAGCGAATTCGGAGCAAATCGGATCAGATATAGCTATATCTCCCATTTATAGGCTTTATTCGATTTGGTGTTTAAGTCCCCCACATTGGTAATATGCACAAGAATAATGTTAGGTATCAGATACCAGATACAACCCAGAAATACCACTCTCCTTGTATTCTTGGGAACCAAATGCCAAATTGTATCAAGATCGGTTCAGATTAGGATATAGCTCCAATATATATCTTCAATCGATTTCGGGTTAATTTTGCACCAAATGGCCAATATCAATCCACATGGCACATCGACCTAATACAGTCTAGAAGCAAGTACAGCGAGTTCGGAGAAAATCGGTTCAGATATAGCTATAGCTACCATATCTAAGTTTCATCCAATTTGGTGTTCAAGTCCCTCACTTTTTTAATATGTATTCGACAACCATGATGTTTGATACCAGATATCTAATAGTGCTCGGAAATACCTTTGCTAAATTTTATCAATATCGGTTCAGATTTCGATATAGCTCACATATATATCTTCAACTGATTTCGGGTTAATTGTGTACCAACTGGCCAGTATCTGTCCAAAAGTTATGAATTTTGGTACAACCGACCGAATTTAGTCTAGAAGCAAGTACATCGAATTCGGAGAAAATCTCTTCAGATATAGCTATAGCTCCGATATATATGTTTCATCCAATTTGGTGTTTAAGTCCCCCACATTCGTAATCTGCATTCGACAAAAATGATGTTTGATACCAGATATTATTGAGCTTGGAAATACCTCTGCCAAATGTTATCAAGATCTGTAGCTCCCATATATATCCTTTCAGGTTTACTGTGCAAATGATACCTAACCCAACCCAAATGGAGTAAATTTCGGGACGTATGTTTCCATTTTATGGAACTCGGCTCCGATATATATTTGTTTTAATATAATCTTTCTCGAAGTGATATCATGCACTCTATAGCAATGTTATTTGGTATAAAAGATTAAAATGTCTCCGCCAAACTTAGTGAAAATCGATTCAGATTTGGATATGCCTCCCATATATTAGTTCCCTTTGAAACCAAACTAAAACTGCTCTAAAGCCAAATGTTGATAGGTGGTATGATCTACTTCAACTAAATTCCTTTGTTACGGGAGATCTACTAAATATGTATAGTTGTGTAGGGTACCATATAGTCGGCCCCGCCCGACTTTTGACTTTTCCTTACTTATTTTTGATATACAAATATCTGAATGAAAAAATATTCGAATTAGTTAAAAATGTTGAAAAACACATATCAGGACTATTCAAGGACATTCCAAAGACCTAAAATGGTAAAAACTAGACAAAATGCATTTTGATCAAATGGTTTGTGTCTACAATACATGAAGTAACAGCCCATAGCAGGGACATGTTAATATGAAAAACACAATTACAAAAACGAATGATAAATAAAAATTTAAAAATCGAAAATTTTGGTTTCATAATTCTATTCTATATACCTTTCCAAAAATTTGCATCCTTCTTTGGTGGTTTATATCAATTAGCATTGGTAGCTATGTTGTTATGATATCATAACAACAGAGGTATTTTCACAGGGCTGCCATATTTTGATTCTGTCTTCTCCTATCTTTACACTTCTATGTCTTTGGACATTCTCTGAATAGAGTTCTATAAACCATTCAAAAATTCAATTTATTTTAGCAGACAATTTTTCATAGTTTTGATCTGTATTCTTCTATCAGGGACAGGAAAAAATGGTTCCTTGAATAAGAAATTTGTGTACCGACTTTTGTCATTCCTTACTGGTTCTATTGAAAATTATTCTAATTCGAACCCGTCGGTGTTCATTGCATCCTAATGTATAACGAACTTCGACTAGGTGTACCCAGCCCAGCTTTCACGCAACAATATAGGAATATTTTTTTATTCAATAAAATATTTTTATTTCAATTAAATACATAATAGCCATTGAAAAAATAAAAAAAAACGATTGACAAAAGTAAATCATTTGCATTTGTAATTACCTGAGGTAAACTTCTCTCGGTGCACTTCGCACAAACGCCGCGACAATTATCTTCGAATGCGGAGTAGGTCACCTAATCTATGACCACGATTTCTATGCTCATATATCATAGTTACGGTCAAATTCTGTTTACACCGCATGTGACTTGTTTTTAAGCCTACCTACCTACCACACATGCGATACACAATCTACACACATATATATATTCGATATGAACTCATTGCACAGTTTGCTTCCACAAGCGTTCTACGGCGTTTATCTTTCAGTTTGATGTTGTGCTGACTGAAACAAGATCAAGTTCATCGAGCAAGCTAAAACGCCTTGACCATCGCAATGTGAGCCTGTCATTTCGTTTTATCGAATTCATTAATAAGTTTTATGTACTGTGCGGGTATTATTTCTTAATCTATTTTAATTTGAATATTTATTTCATTAAATATTTGATCGATTGAATGTGAATTAGATCGGAAAAATGTTGAAATTGGAGTAGTGTTTGGAGTACAATGTTGTAATTAATCTATTGAGAGTATTAAAATATATTAAACTACAGAGAAGTAAGGTGAGTAATTTCTAGATATCATTAAGTGTGATCCATGTTCAAGTATGAAATTGTGTCGAATTATTCACTTTCAAAGACCAATGAAAATACAGATCTAGGTATGCTTATATTTTAATTCTACCATTGCTTTTATATTACGAATGCTGATTGGTATTTGTGCAGAAGCGGGTTGATTTTTTTTTTTTTGTACAAATGTTACTACAAAAAGTAATAGTTGTTGATTAGTAGATCAAAATCCCAAAAGTGTTTTGGGTCCCCAGAACAATTTTTAACTGTATATAGTATAAGGGACTCACATGTTTTGCATTAAATTTTGATGGGTCATGTCGGTTCCACCAACATAGGTATACCCTGATTTCAAGTATTTTTTTTAGTATATTTTTTAGCCATATTTTTATACCTTTAGCCACATGACTACAGAGGGTGTATCCCTTGTGATAGGTCAAAAAGTGCCTCATCGAAATTGTCGGTTAAAATACTCCGCCCACCGTTACGTCTTTAAAAGTGACTGAGGTCCTATCATCCTTTTTTCGAGGGTTCGAGAGCGACTTAACCGTTACCCACAGCTTACTCATATCGGTTCCAATGTTGCAACTCTTCAGATGATCTAGCAACTTTTTCCTCTATGCTCCTGTACCAACCGGTTGACTTCCACTGTCAAATCACTGATTCTAGGAGCAATAGGGTTGGTACGAAAATCATCACTCTCGTTTGCTAATTCTTTGGATTTATACGATTTGATACAAACTTGATATCTCGCAATATTATTAGATCGAGATGTGCCCCATCGGTCCACTCCTTCTGGTACCCCCCACACATAAGGTCAAAATTTTCACTGAAAATAATTTACCGTAAACTTTGTAAATCGCAATATTTGCTTCAGTGCTATGTCAGGTGTGAAAATAGACAATATCGGCCAGAATAAGCATCCAAATCTTTTCAAATTTCACACATTCCAACATTTTCTACTAACACAACATTTGGTGTGAAGATGGTATATGTCGGACCATTCCTCCTGGTACCTCCCCCCACAACGGGTCAAAAAGATGGTAGATATGAGCCCACTTCTTATAGTACTTATATATGGGGTCAACATTTTGAGAAACAAATCGCTCAGAAAATACAAAATAAGCTTCTGATTCTCTACAAATTTCACAATTCGCAATATTATTATTAACAGAAGATATGGGGAGAAGATAGACCTACCCTGTCTGGTATCTCCCCCATAAAAGGCAAAATTTTTATTAACAATTATTACTTGGGGAACAATTGGGGTCTTGGACACATTTTTCACTCGATATAGCCCTTATTTGGCATCTTGACTTCTGAGGAGTAGACAAATTTGTATTCAGGCTACTTTAGGGGTAGAGAACAATCTTACAGAACATATATATTTTGGTATATTTCCCATAAAACGGTGCTTCTTAGGTCCAAGTTCTAAACCAATATTGTTTGGGAGTTTAGAAATTCTATTTAGAGCTAATCGTATTGGGTAATAACAGAAAACGTTCTGAATTATCTTGTAAAAAGTGAGCCTCGAAAGAGTTGAAATCGGGAAAAAATATCAGTCAAATTTCGAACATTTTCAAAATAAAATTTAACCAGCCGGACCTAACTTTAAATACCCACCACTATTAAAATCGGCTGGCTTCATAAGCCTTCGAATATTTTTTCAATATCTTCATATGTGAAGATACGTTTCATAATAATATTACGATGTACCAAGTTTGGATCAAATCGGATACTCCCTTCGAGAGTTATAGTGCGCACCAGCCAGCCAGAGCAACTGACGGATGGACGGACATCGCTAGATCGACTCCAAATGTCCTGAAACGGATTTGGTCCAAAGAGACCTAGGTTCCGGTCGTATCAAATGATATATATACTCTCTAGCCATATGGCCGAGGGTATAATTACAGACACACCTTAGATAGCAGGAAAAATAGTAAATATTTTAATCATGGTACAGGTTGAACAGATGTTGTGCTTGATGTTGCTTAAAAATAGTGTAGAGAATTTAATCTGATTGTTTTTTTTCTTTGTTGCAACAATCGATTGAGTAAACAGACACAACCATTATTTTCGGCCAGTACTTGACACATGTTCTCATGACAATCTGTTATTTCCATTTCAAATACAACAACAAAACCAAAACACATTTCTAATCCATCATCATTCAGCATGTCTTTGATTTGGTTTTTTTGTCCCCTCCCTCCACCATTTCTTTTTTCCCATTTAATATTTTGTCATCGTTTCAGATTCATTGCCATCTGGTGGCCTCTGCGCCAATTGTCAAAGAGCCGTGCCCGCTTCATGATTTTGTGCATTTGGATCATTGCATTTGGCACCACCATACCGTGGGCCCTCTACTTCGATCTGGTGCCCGCGACCGAGGCATTCCCAGCTGCGCCGGACATGTATCTGTGTCAAGAGGTCTGGCCACCGGGCACCAGTGGCAATTTGTATTTCCTGCTGGCCCATCTGATGGCCTGCTATGTCGTGCCGATGGTGTTGATAACCTTGTGCTATGTCCTAATCTGGATAAAGGTGTCAACGCGCTCCATACCTGGCGATACCAAGGATGCCCAAATGGATCGAATGCAGCAAAAGTCCAAAGTGAAGGTCATCAAAATGTTGGTGGCCGTGGTCATTTTGTTTGTGTTGTCGTGGCTGCCGCTTTATGTAATATTTGCTCGCATCAAATTTGGTAAGTATGAGGAGGAGGAAGAAGGAGAAAAACAACAACACACACATACATACATAAACTCTGCAACAAACAATATTTTGGGTTATTGCTGTTCGTTTATTGAGACGATTATTGTTATAAGTCTGTTTGTTTTGGTTACCTCGCTCACCACCTGCCTACCTCTCTCTCTCCCCCTCTGCCCTCATAGTTTTATGTTTACAATTTTCTCCAAGAGGATCTGAAGGCTGAATGAATGATTTAATTTCTTTTTGGTGTAGCAGATTGTTGCCCCATCCTATCTCCCCCCTCCAGAGCTGCCCACCTTTGTGCCATCGAAGTGCAGTGTACGGGCCAACACCAGCCCACAAGGCATTCCGCCATGTCACCTTGTACAAAATGTCTATCTCTTGAACTACAAGTGCGACCACGAAAGTGTTTGTGCAATTGTTCGCACAGTTCGTAGTACTTCAGTCAAAGCCCAGCATAACCTTTGCCTTAGTCGTTGGCGTCGGCCACCCAAACAAACTCCCACCAGTTCGACCTTCGAATGCACTCGAAAATCGGTGTCAGTTGTATTCAGTCGTCGTGGCACGTACGGCTGTGGGTCATTTTCACGAAGCCCAACACAAACAAAAACAACAACAACAGTGCGTTCGGCTTAGGCCCACTTAAAAGAGAAACTTGGAGTAGTTATCTCGACCAGAGGACACAAAGGCTTAAAACAATTGCAGCGACAGGGGACAGTGGGGGCGAGCGATGTGGTGGTGGTGGTGAGCAGCGTTCATTGCCATAGTTTTCAAAACGAAGGTAAATTGTTTCGTAAAACAATTGCCGGAGAATATTTAACGTAAAAGGCAAGAGAGATATTTGAATTGTTTAGATGGAATTTTCAATTGGAGATCAATCATGAAATAATACGAATTATGAGAGTCTTTGGAGGGTATATTAGCTTTTGTCATTCCGTTTGTTACACCTCGAAATATTCATGATAGACCCTATATATATTCTGGATCAGCGTAAAATACTAAGACGATGTCCGTCTGTCTGTGTGTTGTAATCACGCTATCTTTCGAACGAATTGAGATAGAAGGCTAAAATTGTGCATTTATGCATATCTTCCCAGTTGGCAGGTTAAGGTTGTAAATGGGCCATGTCGGTCCACGTTTTCGGATAGCCCCCATATTACAGTACCTCCCGATATTCGGTATTTTCATGATTTTTGCGACATTATTCCCCAGAATTGTTACAAATTTCGCAATTAAAGTTCGTAATGGGCACTACAGCCTATGGCAAAAATTTCGTAATCAGGTTCACGTTTTCTTATAGCTTCTATATAACGATACCTCCCGATCTTAGTGACATTTTTTACCGGAATTGTTTCAAATTTCAAAATTAAAAGTTTGGAATCGGTATAAGAGCCTACTGCAGGTTCACGTCTTCTTATAGCCCCTATATAACTGTTTAAATTTTTTGACGGAATTTTTTTTAAATGTTTAAATTTTCTCGCAAAGTGTGGAAGGTATAAAAATTTCGCCCTGGTCGAACTTAGCTGCCTTTTTACCGGTTCAGTTTTTGATTAAAGGCCCATATAATGAGAGAAACTCATTTTAGGGGATTCGAAGGTCCTGGCCACATCTTAGAGCCGAAATGTTAGTTGAGGGGATGTGTCCTATTGTCCCCTCAAAAAATGTTCCAAGTGGATCTATTAGATTTTTAATTTTATTAAAATTATTTATTAGATTTTTTAATTTGCATATTCCAGCTACATTTCCAAGAATTTGGCATTTAAGGTTCGTAACCGAAATAAAACTAACTTCCAAAATATTTAAATTTTGAAAATACCCATCTCTAAATATTGAGAATTTTGAGGTCAATCGATTCGACTGAGAGCTATGGTGCCCTTCAAATGCAAAGTATCTAACTTTGTGAATTGGCGAAACACAACAAAAGAGATAAATTAAGGTTTATATAAATAGAATCATGAGAAGTTCGGCCGTTTTTGCTTACTTTTTTATACCCTCAGCCATATGACTAGAGAGGGTATATATCATTTGATACGGCCAAAACGTGCCTCATCGAAATAACGAAATAACTAACAAAAGATCCAAATTTTCAAAGAAAAGAATTTACTGCAGAGAAAGAGAAAGGATAAGCCTACTTTGCTCCAACTATGCAAGTCCTAATATTTACATCAGTGCTAGGTCAGGTGCGAAAATGGAAAATGTCGGTTCACTTAATCAAGTACCTTCCCTACAAAGGTTCATAATTTTGAATAATTTTAACTCCTGTCTTCAAATTACACACATCGGTCCACACATTCTGGTACCTCGCCCACAAATGGGTCAAATTTTTGAATTTTCATGAAGCTCACAAAACACGAAATTGACATCCGATTCCATTGAGATTTGGCACATCTCAAGAACACAAGATATGTTATACAGATGGTAGAGATCCGACCATTTCTTCTGGTACCTCCCCCGCATAGGGTTCAAGATTTTTTTAAAACAAAACGCTCAAAAAATTGAAATAAGAATCCAACTCAACACTTCAAATTTTGCACATACCAATATTTTTATCTTTATTACATAAAGTGTGAAAATAGAATACATCGGTCGGCTTCACGCATATTTCCACATTTTCCAAAAATGTGCACATATCTCATATATAATATAGGAAGTAGACGATATAGCTCAGTTCTGGCACGTTATATATTTATCAGTCTTAGGTCAGATACGAATTGGTCAATATTGGCCAACTGCTTCGAAGCCTTCCCCATAAAGGGTCAGGAGTTTGAATAATCATAAGTCAAGGCTGGAGGTACACATCTGTCGGCAAAACCGAATGATACTATTTTACTTGCTTGACTTCAAATTTATTTATTATCTCTGTCTCGCACAATTTCCATATCGTATCTTGTCTATCATCTTGTGTTTCTTGTCAATTCAAAAAGTTTCGGTAAGCTATGTTTTATTTGCAAGTCCAACATACTGCGTATACGTTGCGACAATAATCATACGCACCATGACACTTGTGGGAAGTATGTAAAATCTATGACAACTTTAAAAGTTTTTATGACAAACAAAACAAATGCAACAATTTCCTCTTTAATCGTCCAGACTTCTCTTTTGTGAATATTCACACCAACAATCGACGACGGGCAACAACAAAGAGTCCCAACAGCAATCTATAATGTATGCCATTAACAACTTCTCTCTTTTGAGTTTCAAGGTAGACATTTTTATTGTCGCGTTTAACAAAACTACAATTGAACATGACAGAGAGACGCCTTGACCATTCGCAGCAACCTTGAACTTACTCCTTTTTTCTCTCGAGTGTATTTGGAACAAAAACTAATGTGCATCTCTGTCTGTGAGTGTGGCTGTGTGTGTGTGTCGGTGCATTTTTCATTTCAATGTCAATCACACACACTCACACGCTCACTCACTCACGCACACACCCACTTATGCACACACACACATCCATAGCCAACATCTGTATACATGTGTATTTTTAGGCGGTGAGATTTCCATGGAGGAAAGTGAAATCTTGAACAAGGTTACCCCGTTCGCTCAGTGGCTGGGTTCATCCAATTCGTGCATCAATCCAATACTCTATGCATTCTTCAACAAAAAATACCGACGTGGTTTCGCTGCCATTATTAAGTCACGGTCCTGTTGCGGTCGTTTAAGGTGAGTGAGTGTGCGAATGCCGAGAGAAACACACAACAACAAAAACAAATCGTGTTTCAAGAGCATTCCAAAAGTTTCCAAGGCCCAACAACATGATTTTCACCTTTCTTTGTTGTTTTTGTTGTTATTTACAGATACTACGAGAATGTGGCCATTGCATCGTCCACCACCAGTACCAGCCGCCGCAAGTCATCCCATTATCACAATGGATCACGCAAAAGTCCCAGCAGTCCCGGTCTGCGAAAGACCAATGCCGTGTCCTACATCTATGAACATAACTCGTTGCGGCGCCATAACTTGATGTGCAAACAGGATAGCAATTTATCGCAACAGATGCTCTTGAAGCAGGACTCGCATGGCTCGCGACAATATTTGGTCAAACAGGAGAGTGCCTCCAGTGATGGCTCTCGCCGGCTGTTGTGTCAACAGGACAGCAATGGCTCAAAGGTCTCGCTATCGAAACAAGATTCTGTGGTGTCCTACTATCTGGAGAACAAACGTGCTGGTCACAATCTCCAAGATTCATTTGCTGCCCAGGATTCCATGTCTGTTGAATCACGTCGCAACACAATGTCACGTACGAATGACAATGGCATCGCTTCGCCGGCAGTCGGTTCGCTGTTGGAGCACAAGAGACAGAAGTTCGTGAAACAAGATTCGGTTATATCGTTTGTGGATCAGAGACCAGGTAAGAGGGCGCTTAGAGATGTAAAATGAAGAGTAAAACGGCTGCAGAGTATTACAACAGTGCTTTCTTAAAGGGGTTTTAAGAGAGAGAAAAATACCATCACTTCTCTCTGAAGATCTCAATCAATTCTGAGTAATTTTTAATTTGAAATTTATTATCGAAACAAACAAAAAACCGTAAAAATGATGATCGAAACACCAACAAATCAAATGTGCAAAGTTTTGTTGGAATTTATGACCTTCTGGTTATTTTGCAAGAATTGCCCAGCGAAATCTTTCTCAGAGAGTAAAGTAGTTTTATTCCCTTTTGTAAAGTAAACAGCAGCATCCCTGTTCAGCAAACAGCTGATCTTTCAAAACAAAAAAAAAAAACCGCCATAAAAAGAAACAAGTAATTCATTGACTGATTGACTGTCTGACTGACTTAACGATACATCAATGCCCAGACGAAACAGCTGAAGCTAGAATTTTGGGCGAGGCTCACTCTTGAACCGAAGGAGTCAGATAAGGCTGGGTTTATGGATTTTCGTACCATAACGGTACGAAAAGTATTAAATAGAAATCTTTAATTTGGAATGAGGGTCTCTGATGGATGGAAATTCGCACTGTAATTGTACGAAAAGTACTAAAATGTACTACATTTGGTACCATTTACAGCTAAAAAAGAAATTTGGCATGGTTATAAAGCAGTCTAGAATCTAGGTAAGGAATTAATACGAAAAGAACAAAACCGTACTAAAGTTAGTACAATTTGGATTTGAACGAACGGATAAAGCTAGTATACTAAAATTTGAAATCAATATTATTGGCAGAGCGTAGGATTGGGATATGGAGGAAGTTTTCGAAATTTGTACTTATGTGCAGAAAAAGTGTCAAACGGTACTATTACATTTTGGGAGAACCGGTAGAGTTAAAACTTGGAATTAAGAATACTGTGGGAGTCTAGGATTGGGTTATATAGAATGTTTTAGAAATTCGTACTTTGGTACAATTGGTACAATTTGTAAAGTCCTTTATTTGTTCGAAAAGTATTAAATGGTACTAAATTTGGTATTAAATGAATGGATATGGCTGGACTCCTCAAATTTGGTATGGTGGTACATGGTGGAATAGTACACATTTCCAAAACCACCTCAATATCTCAATTCCAGATACCAACAGAAAAGTACGAAATTGTACTAAGTTTGGTATTGGGTGAACGGATAGAGCTGATCCTACTCGGTAAACTTTAAAAACTTTTTGGTGTAAAAGGTAAATCTACCAGAAGTAATGGTCCGATCTCTACCATATTTACAACAGAACTTGTTTTGATAGAAATATTGTGCCAATGTGCCAAGTCTGAATGGAATCGGATGTTAATTTCGCGTTTTATGAGCTTCATGGATATTTAAAATTTTGACCGATTGTGGGAGAGGTACCAGAAGGAGTTGACTGATATATCCCATCTTCACACCAGACCTTTGGTTAATAAGAATATTGTGATGTGTGTAATTTGAACGGATGTAAAACGGATGCTTATTTCGGGTTATATGATCGTTCTTGGCTATTCAAAACTTTGACCCTTTGTGGGAGAGGTACCAGAAGAAATGGTCCGATCTGTACCATCTTTATAACAGATCTTGTGTTGATGAAAATATTCAGATGTGCCAAGTCTGAATGGAATCGGATATTAATTTCGTGTTGTATGAGCTTCATAAATATTCAAAATCTTGATCCTTTGTGGGGGAGGCTTTCCTTTCTCTTTCTGTGCAGTAAATTATTTTCTTTGAAAATGTTGACATTTAGTATGGGAGGCACCAGAAGGAGTTGACCGATATTGTCCATTTCCGAACTTGATCTAAGTTTGACAATAATGTTACGTTGTACCCAGTTTGTATCAAATCGGCTACTCCCTTCGAGAGTTATCGTGCGCATCAGCCAGCCGTCCGTCTGCCTAGATCGTTAGATCGACCCCAAATATCCTGAAACGGATTTGGTACAAAGAGACTTAGGGTCTAAACCCGTTATTTCGATTAAACTCCTTTTGGCCGGGTCAAATGATATATACCCTCTCTAGCCACATGGCTGAGGGTATAAAAAGACCGAACTGAGGGAACGAATTTAAAACTTTAAGGTGGATTTTTAGCTCTCACTTACAATTTCTCTCTCGCTGCACTCTTTCTTGATGAAGTTTCCGCAGTAATTTGCAAAATTTTTAAAAATGTCGCTCTCTTTGCTTTGCTGGACTTTTGCTTAAAAAGACAGCCTTGAGTATAATTCTGTAACAATTATAATATTTTTGCTTTGATTTTTCAGAACCCCGTCGTCATCAATTGGTTAAACAAGATTCCGTTATATCTTTTGCCGATCAACGTCGTGGTCTGTTGAATAAACAGGATTCCATTATTGGATGCTCTAGCCGGTCTGGAGATGGTACTGGTCATCATGTTTCGATTCTGAAGAAAACCGATTCACAGCTTAGCAGCGGTAGTTTTAGCTCGCCCAGGCGTAACATTGAAATCTACGAATAAATAAATCTCTCGAAAATACGCTAAACGGTGTAGTACGGACATCATCTAAGCAAAACGTGCTTACAACAAACCAAAGAAAATCTACGAAACCAAAAAAGAAGAATAAGAAAAAACACAACAAAACCAAAAATAACAAAGCATAGATGATAGCACACGTTAACACAGAGTTAAGAGAAAAAATAAGCACACCAACATATCCTTTACAAGTCAGGCAATAACACAAAAGAAAAAAAAAAAACAGAGACAGACAGACAGTTATGATATTGAGTAACGAAACAGATACATTTGAATATGTGAAGAGATGAAGAGAAAAAAAAAACAAAACAATCAAATTGTACGTTTTTTTATTAAAATACGATTTCAAAACAAATACATTTTTAAACATAAAGTGATATTTTTAATACAATAAAGTGAATGTTAAATACTCTGAGTTTTAGAATGACTTTTGCGTTCTGTCTAATTTCCTATTCCTATTCAGTTTTGATAGATGTCAGAGTGTGCGTGTTCAGGGAAATGAAAGTGTTTTTAAGCAAGATAATTGTGAAACAAAAATAAAAACAAATAAATTTAACACTGGCCTAGACCGTAAATTGAAAAATAAAAATAAAACAAAAAACCGAAGAAAAAAACATACTTACATACATACATACAAATTAATGTTAACTGTTTGCTAGATTTTTATTATTTATTTTATACTGAAAACACAACAAAAACAACAAGAAAACAAACCGAATCAGCTTTTTATATGAAAGTGTTTAGACGAGACAAATTACAAGTTTCGATGGAAACAGAGGAGGAAATATTTTTTAGGAAAATGATAGATTAAAAGATTTTAGTTTTACAAAGCCATTAGCCGGAGACCAATGAGCAAATTGTTAAGTTTATTTTTAAATCTTTTGATTGATAACATCTTTGGAAAGTGAATTGATAATTTCGGTTTCTTTGATATTAGACATGGCAAATGCAGTAGAGAGAGGAAGAGAGAGATTTATTAAGAGATCAAATCCTATTTAAGTTTTACTTACAAAATGACATTATTTTTGCTTTGTGGTCTTTGAAAGAGGGAGAGAGAGAGAGAAATAGAAAGAGAGAGTTATTAAGAAATAAAATCCCATTTAAATTTTTCTTAGGAAATATCTTTCATTTCTGCTTTATGGTCTTTGAGAATGCGCTTTGTGACCAGATATTTTGTAGGCAGGTGCTGGTATACACCCAATTCTACTGACAGAGAAAAATCCCTCCCTCCTTTCGGGTAATGGATATAAAAATAAAGTACCTTTATTTGAAACCAAATAAAAATATTAATATACAATATTAATGACTAAATAGAGTTATAAACCATACAACAAAAACAAATTATTGCAAATGAAAAACAAAATAACAACTAAACCAAAAAAAAAAAAGAAAAACAAAGTTTTGTATTTGAATATTTCTAAAATAAAAAACTAACAAATTTATATACAAACAATTTGTATTGATTTTTTAAAACAAAACCAAATATCAAAGCAATAAATCTAACTTACATACATATTACAAGAACAAACAACAAATATTTATACAAATACATATAAACTATAATATACCTAATAAATTAATAATTTATTACTAAAAACAACAACAACAATTACCACAAAATTATATAGAAATAATGAAAACATATGTAATCCGTATCCGTATACAACATTAACACACAAAAAATAACAACAAAAATATAGAAAAAAATAAATTGCCGGACACTATTGCTGGGTTATCCTTAATGGGGCAAACATTAGGAGTAATTATGATCCCATAAATCATTGGTTGACATAAATTTCGCGGCAGGGTCGTAGCATGAAGAAGATGTAATTTAAATGAAATTTTACGAAAAGCTTTGAGAGATCGTCATAAAGGTTAAAACCCTGGTAGAATTAAGGAAGTAAAGTCATGCAATCATATGTTTACAATTTTTTCAAAATTATTCATTTGACAACATTTCATTGTCAAACTGTATATTTATGATTTCATTGCACATACACAAATCAGAGATGGGAACCTGTTTTCTATGCAGTGAAATTTGACAAGGTAAATTACAGAAAATGCAGCTATGGGTATGCTTATTTGATATGGCTTTTTTTCCTAATTTTACCATATTTAAAACATATATTGAAACAGCGTGTGTGTTTTTTTAATTTATTTTTTTTTACATATGTATTGTCAAATTTTCCATATGGAAAAGCTGCACACATCGTGTGATACATGTACGTCATTTCCGTTGTGAAATACAAGAGTAACGTACATGGTAAAGGAATACATATAGATGCATCAACGCTTGGGAACATTGATGTGTCAAAAATATTAAAATGTTTATTTTTTTAATTATGATATGTACAATTTTTGCAAATTTGAAAATGTTTTCATTCAAATGCCCAATTTTAAAATTAGTTTGGCAGTTCATTGTCCCAACAGCTGCATCGAAGCGACTGCCTGCATTCTTCTACCATGATATATATGTACTTTTTCGATCACAGCGAGCCCTACTTTCATTGGAGAAATATTAGGAGTGTTCTAGAACTGCAAGAATGTAAAAGTTTTTACTACGATAACCGATTTCCACTTAATAAAATCGAAAAAAAAATTGCAAAACAAGTAGAATCTTGCACGTACTGGAACAATTATTTAATCAAAAAAGTTGTTTATTTATTGTGTGAAAATATCGAAATATATCGCTGCCGTACGAGCCAATGTTGAGAGGTCCCCAAGAACATCCCAAAAACGCCGTTCTCAGCAGTTGGGCATGGCTCGGTCCACTTTACAACGGATTATTCGCATTGATTTGCATTCGTTCCCGTACAAAATTCAATTGACGCAAAGAATGTTGCCTGCGGACAAGCCTCGTCGATTGGAATTTGCCCAAAAAGTCATGGGTCCGTCGAATATGGGCAACCCTGTGTTATAACTTGTTTAGAAAATATAGTATAATCACAATCACAAAGGAAATAAAAAACACATGCACATGTGCGATAACATGAATTATGCCATATTTAAAAAGGCAGCTTTGACATTCACACGGAAATACACATGGATAATAAAAGTGGCGCAAATATGTAATACTCTTATCGTCTAATCAGCTTGATTAAGTAATCTGGAATGTTATTATTTGAACGATATGCATGATATGCATTTTTCAAAAGTTTTTACAAATTTGAAAAATTTTTCATTCAAAATTTTCAATTCCAAAATCGGTTTAACAGTTCATTGTCCCAGCAGCTGTGTATTAGAAGTGTTGCCATACATTAATTATGTCAACAATAAAAAGTAAGTTCAATACCTAAAAAGATATAAGCTCAAATCATGAATTCGGCGTGAAAATGCAACACTGTTGTTACTAGTAACTGACAACAGTTCTGAGAGTGATTTAAATGGAAGAATAGTATGGGATATTAAGTACACACACATTTCAGTGGAGCAGGAGTAGAGTCCCTGAATTTTGCTATTTTTTTAAATAACCTTCATGGAATTGTTTATGTCAACGTGAATATGGGATTTTAAGAAAATATTAACAACAAATAATAATTAAAAAACAAAACAAAAAAATAGAACTCATACATTCATAGCTATTGTATTACCTACCTAAGTATGTATATCACTCAGTATAACAATAATCAAATGATAAAAAGAACATGAAAACAAACAACAATTGTGAAAATCGAGACATATTTAAAAAAAAAAAATGAAGAAAGAAAATACAATAGAAATACAGAAAGCACAAAGTAATGGCATACCAAATAGATAAATATATACGATATTTAGATTTATATATAAACATTTTTAATATGAAATTTCTATAAAAAAAGAAACAAATAAAACCAAAAAAAAAATATGGATTACATAAAATATATTTTGTTTACTATTTGAGTAATGGATAAAAACAAATACAAAATAAATAAATTATTTTATTAACAAATTAAAATTATAACTACTAACCAAATACATAACTCCACGAGTGTGTCATGGGGCGAGCTTAAAGCTCTTTTAATGGAAAAGCTTAAGAAAAAAACAAGAAAAGTACACATTGAAGCAAAGCAAACAATGAAACGACGCCATCTATAGATTAACTCTTAACTAAATAGCAAAAGAATAGAAATGTAACCAAACCAAAGAAATAGTAATTACAGTTACAGCAAATTCATTTTGTTATACATACAAATTATCAAATAGTAAAATAAAAATTATACAAAACACAAAATAATTGTTTAAATTTTTAAAAATATTTTTACTAAGAAAAGTTTTGTATTGTCTTGAACCTTCTCCATATATACGTCGAACAGAAATAAGTAACATTTTTAACGATTCTCCCGGTTTCTTTATATTTCAATTATGTTTGGAAAACTGTAAGATAGTAATACGTACTTAAACGGAAAAGATGAAAGGAACCCTCTTTTCCTATGTAAAAGCATGGTAGAATAAAGAGGTATAACAGTTTCGCCAATACTATTAAAACACAACCCTGATACCATGTCCGCTTTCTGTCAGAATTATTTGAAGTAACATGTAACAAGTATTTCTCCCTTACTAGATATTCTGTTTCAATTTTTCGCGAAAATTAAAGAAACACAACAGTAACAGAAAGCGGGCACACTTAGAGAAAAATGTAAACATCTGGTAACTCTGCAATACATTTTTATTGTGTCTGGGTAAAAGTACGTTTACATACAAATAGTAATACATGGTAAACCTGATAATTGACCAATCACAATAGATTTGACTATGGAAAACATACGTTAAGTTTAGTGATCAATTTTGTGTAAACGTTATATCAGACTAAATGCCAAAATCTGCCTACTGTTTATATATCTTTCATACTGTGATTCCATTCACAATACATCTAGATGATCAGCTTCTGTAAATCCTGTACCTATTAATTGTGCCATAGTTGCCAGATTTGATTGGTTGCTGTGTTTTTTTGAACGATTGCGACCATGCTGCCTAACAAATGTATTATTGTAATTGAAATCACAGAACAAACGAAAACAAATAGCCAGATGAGAGATTCAATATAAAATGGTCGATAATTTTTCTTTTTCAGTTTTATGTATATTTTTACAAAAAAAAAAAAAAAAAAAAAAAAACAAAACAAAAAATGAATTAAAAATATCCATTTTATAGCCCAAGAAAAAAAACGAAAGATTAAATATAACAATGTTTACATAAACAAAATATATGTATTCCCTACCTATATTGAAAAGGATCCCGTTTAGCCATAAATTAATCGAAATACATAAATAATATTTTTTTTTAAAAAAACAACACCTACAAATAGGAAACTGCTTCAAAATGCAATGCCACTAAATTTGCATACATACATCTCTATATAGAAAAACAATATTAGCAGCATACACAGAAATAAACATAAAAATATATATATTAAAAAAAAAGTTGATAACAATAAATACATGGTTTAGAATAAAATACAAATATACATAGCTTTAAAAAAAAACATCACACGTACGATGAGCGATGGGAACGAAACCAAAGAAGATATACATAAAGTGAATCACAAAAATAATTTGCGAATTAGATTCGATTTTAAAGTGACCTTTTTTTATTCAGTTCAAAAAAGTTTCAACTTTTCGTTGGACAAATAAATGTGAGAATACATAAAACGCTTTTTTGACTGGCTTATGTCATCGTCTGGCTTCTTCGGAAAAGATCAAAGAAGCGTTGGGACAAAATCGAACTAAGTCAACCTAAAACTCCTTTATTCCTCTACGGAGAAGCCAGTCAAAAAAAAACCTTTTATGTACTCTCACCTTTAATTCGTTTTGAAACATATGCTTTTGTGACTCACTTACATGTATATCGAAAATAACAGTCTAAACTAATCACACATAAACAATTTATAAATATAAGTAAATTAACAAAAATATATTTATATTGTATTATAAGTTACATACATAAATACGAACATATGTATATCTGTATAACATTGTAAACAATAAACCAAATAAAACAAAACATCACTACTTGTATGAGAACAATTGTACTTAAACATTGTTGTTACAGAAAAAAAAAAACAAAATTAAAATATACCGGCAGAAAAACAACAAAAATAAAACCAAATTACATTTAAAAGCAAACAATTATTGTTAAATATCGGTTATTTGGAGTTCCGCTTATAGGTGAGTAAAAGAGGTAACATGGTAGAAGAATACAGGTAGATGCATTAACGCTTGGGAACATTGATGTGTCAAAAACTGTTTTGTCAAACATAAGTAGATATTTATAAATTTCCCTGTACGATTTATATACGATAATAAATACAAACGCGAGATTGACAGAGATGAGTCACAATCAGAAAAAAAATTATTAACCGATAGCAATAGCTCTTTATTCTAGTATGATTTCCATGTGTTATTTGCATCTCAAGTCCATATTTTAAAACCAGCTGCAATCTACTTTTCTCTGTCCGGTCTGTAAATTCACTTAGAGTGACTCTGTTTTCCAAGAGATGATAAATGTGAAGAATTTATTAGATTTTTATTTAAATGTTGATGTTGAATCGAATATTTATTGATTTCATATGAATAACTATCATAAAATCAAAAGGAATATTAATAACGGTACCAAAAACAAAATTTAAAATGTCTGTGCTATCATTTTACTTTGAATGCCATAGCGAAGTATGAAGAAGCATTGTTTTGGTTGTTGTTTTTTATCAACACGCATACACAAAAATCACGACCTACGAAGTCAAACAGTAGTGTTGTAAAATATAGTTCATTTATTCAGCTCTATGAGCTGAACTAGTTCATAATTAAATCGTCCGGATTTGAATCGTTGGCGAGCCTGAATGCTGAGTATGGACAAGGAAAAACAAACTTATTTTTGAATATAAACGAAAAAATTAACATAATGAATTGAAATTGTTTTTTCTTTTTTTTTTTTTGTTGGGAGTTTCATTTTCGCTTCAATATTTATTATCATAATAACAAAAACTAAAAAATTCAAAACATATTACAGTTCCTATCACTTATGGCAGTGGACGACATATTAACATTATTTTCGAAGAATTCTTTTTCGATATCGAAAGAGAAAAATGATTTTAGTTCAGTGAGCTAAATTGACTCATTTAGTTCACATGCTCATCTCAATGAATCGTTCAATCGAACTAGTTCGTTCGTGAACTATACAACTCTAGTCAAAGCCAGCAGTCGAAGAATTGAGTCGGAGAGTTCCATAAAAGATTAAAAATTTCCTAATAACAAGAAATACAATTGATAATAATATAAAACAAATAATACTAATCGACGACTATTTACATTGATAATCAGTTATAAATAAGATAAACCAAAAACCACATATAATAAGGGAAGAAAAAGGTGCTTCTTTCTGACGACATTGACGGACACATAATTTTCTTTCATAAGCTAATTGAATTTACACACACACGCACGTACGTACGCTCATACTCATCGATAATATATACGACGTCGTCGAAAACGTCTTCAAGACACATTGCTTGCAAAGGAAAATCACACAGAAGAGTGAAGAGTGGCGGCCAACCATCCGACAAAATAAATTAAAACAATAACAAACATTTCGTCATTGCTATTTTCGTCTGGTGGAAATAAAGCAGAACGAACTTAACGCCTGGCAGCCAGATCCAAATCGGTGAACAACTCTTACTAATATAATCGACGAGAGCCTAAAGACTGAACTAACAAAACGCTATTAGCAAACGGCGTGTGGAGCAGAGGTTTTTGTTGTTGTTGTTATTGCCTCATTACATAGTATTGTATATTAGTTTACAAGGAAAACGTATTAAATCAAATTCTTCGATTCCATTGGACCAAATCATGGCAACCCAAACAACAGCTAACACCAATCCAACAGAGAGTGTTCCAAAAGTTGTTGGCGGGGCAGCTGTTAGCGCGGATGAAGTAACATCAGAATTAGGTTTTGATATGGAAGATGTGAAACATTGTTTTGACAATTTGATTGTCATTGACGCCGGAGCGAATCTAACCAACAAGAAATATAGCCGTGATTTGGATTCCGTCATACAAAGAGCCAAAGATGCCGGTAAGTGATCACACATTGTAACCTTCAAAGTGACCAAGAAGTGTGATGGAGGAATGTATGGAGATTATTTTAATTATTTAATTGACCTACGAGTCAGGGTCGTATGGAATTTTTGTGTGGGCTGCGGGAGATGGGAAGCCAGCAGCGAAAGTGTTGCTTCACAAACAAATTAGAAACAGTTGCAAGTGGAATATATTTTTCTTCAGAGGAGTGTTGTATGGGATATTGCATTTCACAGGAAATGATATCAAAACATATAGGTGACAAGCCCTTACAACCTATTTCTTATCACAGAAAGTTGTTATCAATTTTTAAACTATTACAAGAAATATGAGAAAATACCTAGGTAGGTTTAAGTCTAGGTACATGTATTTCAATTTTCACATGTTAGAAGGTCTTATTGGAACCAGTAAGATTTTGACTCGTTTAATAAGATTTTTCCATCCGCGATTTTGTGAAAAAAAAAAACAAAGAAACCAAAATCAAATTATTCTAGTTAATAATATATGAAGCTAGCTCTCTAAAAATATGGTTTCATTGATAAATTGTTAATCATGTTTTTAAGATCGTGATTATGGGACGCATTCCTATTATCGCCCACTTGAAACATAAATCTCTAAATGCAATATCAAATGAATACATACAAATTATAATATTAGAATATTCTTCGTAATAATATTTGCATAATTAGCCAGCACCCCGCAAAATGACACAGTTTGCCAAATAAATATTTTAGAACCAAAAAATGTTATAATTTTTCAGTTTTGAATTACATTTTGTCCCCTTTTTAATGAATTGGTAAATTCAAATAGCACGAACAAAGTTTCGATTAAAACTTGAAAATATTTAGTCGACAAACTGTATATCATAGATCTTGTTGTTACTACCCTACAACAATACCGAAATAAAATTCTTATAAAGCATCTTTGCAATCTTATTTCCACATTGTTTGCAATGAGTGTACCAAACTAAAATATTTATTTATTTGCCTACAAACATACATACCTATGTATATGGCAATATATGTTCACAAATAAATATATTTTACGCACATTGTACTCTGAATACATACATACATACATGAATACATGTCATTTTTGTTATGTGATGTTCTCTGCTAGCTGACGCCTCTGATCATCAATGCTTTCATAAAAAGAAAAAGAAAAGAAAACATGAATAGACTTTATGGTTATTTGTCTCTTAGGGCGTCGCCTTGTTTTGCGGCTGCCGTGTGGCTGGATGGGGAGTGTGGGCGATCGATGTGACCTTTTGTTTTTGTTTACTTGTTAGTCGCTTTTATACAGGAGATGCACATACACAATATGCGATCTAAGTTTATAGAGTATAACTTAACTTGATGTTAAATGTTTATATGTAAATTTCCATTAGCAGTCCATTGAAAATTTTAAATAGATTGGTCATGGCGAGGCAGTGCATTTCTCCCTATGAAAAAGTCTGTTTTATGTTATATTATTAAGTGCTGTTCACTTGAACAAGTAATTTATGTGTTTTTTTTTTTTTTTTTTAATTCTATATAGGAGTACAAAAAATTATGGTACCCGGCACTTCGGTAAAGTCAAGCAAAGAAGCCCTTAGACTTTCACGCATTTATCCCGATATTATTTACTCGACTGCTGGCATACATCCACACGACTCAAAATCGATAATCGAAGATCCGAGCAGCTGGTTCGAATTTCAGGAAATTGCTGCATCGCAAGAATGCGTTGCTATTGGACCATGTGGTCTAGACTATCAACGCGACTTTTCCGAACCAGATGTACAAAAGGAGATCTTTGAAAAACAGCTACTTTTGGCAAGCAATTTGGGCAAGGCCATATTAATTCATGAGCGTTCCGCACAGCAAGATGTACTCGATATACTAGACAAGTAAGTGCTGATGAAGTAAAATTTAGACCTATATCGAATATTTTGAAAATATTTTCATTTTTCAGATTCGAGAATTTACCACCAGTCATTGTTCGAAGCTTCATGGGTACCGCTGAAGAAGCAATTAAATATTTAGATAGAAGGTTCTATATAAGTTTAACTGGTTATTTATGCAAGGTAAGAGATTATTCTTGATTTTAATAATCCATGTTTTAAGAATTCTCCTCAAAATCCTTCGATTTGCCAAATTTATAATAGAATCTGTTGGGGAATAAAACAGGGCAGAAGAAACAAATTGAGAGATGTATGCCAGTTGATTTTTCAATTGTGAGCAAATATTAAACGATATTTGAACACTTTAGAATCGTTAACTAAATATGGGTTTTTGAATTATGAGAAAATGCCGATGTATTTAGTTTTTCGGATTATTTGCAAAAAACTCTAAAATGCGATTTTCTCTTCAACCACAAATCATTTTGAATGCTTTAAAATACCATTCGAATTTATAATATATTCTGCAGTAACTATATTTTCAATTTAACCTTTATCTTTCATACAACTTACATTTGAATATATGCAACTCAATCGAGTTAAATTATAGAAAGGAATTGACAAACATGTTTCGTATATATTTTATTTTTAAAATTTATTTTTTTCTTTTATTTTTTTAGGACAAATCAGACACTGGCGTTCGTCGCCTACTGGATAATGGAACCTTACCTTTAGATCGCCTTTTGGTAGAAACAGATTCCCCATTTATGTATCCAAATACACGTGCTTCTAAGCTTCCACAACATGTCAAGACTGGCATTACTGAACGCTCCTTATTGTACTTACATAGGTAAGCGGTACTTAAATTGAAATGCAAACTGAAACAATCTAAACATTTTTCATTTACAGATACTGTACATTTCAACGCAATGAACCATGCAGCCTGCCCGCTATTGTGGAAATGATTGCCGCCTTTATGAAGAAGTCGGCCGATGAAGTGGCTTTAGCAACAGCTTTTAATGCCCTCAAATTATTTGGACTTTCCTAAGGACCACCTTCAAGTGGTTAATAACAAAAAAAAAAAAAAAAAAAACGAAAAGTGGTGTTGTTTAATAGTTTTGAATGTTTGCATGCAACATACGTAACACACACATACATACATATTTTTTACATATATACTGTGCCAAAAAAACACACACATATAAATCATTTGCTTAGCAAAACAAAACAAAAAATTCAACAAAAAAAACAATACTAAAAAACTCCTTTGAAAAAAGGAAACGAGACTAAATGAGTGCCTTATAAAAATGAAATGCAACTACCACTTTAAAATTATTTTAAGTTAGACAGAAACCAATCATACGACGTCTTATCCGTGCGTTAACTAATCACAGCTAACACTAAGACGATAAAAACACCTATAGCTTAAGTTTGCAATCAAAGTTAACAATTCATGGCAAATAATGTTACTTTATCAAAAGTTTACTCATAGAAAAATGGTGTTAAAGTTTGCCATTAATTGTTGCAAAACTCATTTTTGAACATAAAAAAATATCTAATCGAATTTCTTTATTTTTATAATTAAATGCATACATAAACATTTAGCTTTAAGTTAACAAGGGAAGTAATTTGTTTAATGCCATGGCAAAGAAGAAGAATGATAACAACTAAATCAATTCATCAAATACTCGGAGACTGTGCACACTCCCACACAAATGTTAATGAATTGTTTAACCATTCAACATGGACAACAATGGATGGAAATGCTAATTAGCGTTAAAAACTAACAGCTGCAGCTTTGTTTTCTTTTTTTAATATTATTTCTTTTTATTATTAGTAATGCCAATTTTTGGTAACATTTTTGTAAATATATTTTATTTGTTTTTATTTTTTTTATTTTTATCGTTGTGTTCCGATCTATTCGTTTAGTAATCAAATGACTAAATGAAAACATAATTCTAAAAGAAACAAAATATACATTTAAGTATGTACTTTAAGTGCTATTTACATGAAAATATTCATTCAATCCTTGGCGAAACGAATGCCGACAAATTGAGGATGAATCAAGATATCCATAAACAACACACATTTATTATTACACCACATTTTTTTTATATTTTATAAGTCATTCATCAATATCATGCATAAGCATGCTTGATATGAAATTGTGATCATATAAAACATAAAGCTATTTATTTTTTATTTTTATTAGTTTTATAAACAATTTTTTTATACATACAAAGCAACACATACTTATATACCTATCTACAAAATCTGAATAAAAAAGAATTCATTACATTGTATGTTAAAAATGCGGATTTTAATTGAAACATACAAACACCCACATATATTTGACAACAATTAGTTTTAAGAATAACACAGATGAAATGTTTAATGTGAATAAAAGGTTTATAAGGTTTGTTAATAGAGAAATGAGAACTTTAATAAAAATTATGGTGTCGCCTTTTTACAAAAAGGGCAGCTAAAACGTTAAAGCGCTCTGTTTTGTTTTCTTATTTAAATTCCGCATCATACGTTAGATAAAGGTAATTAAAAAACAAGTAAAATTGTATCAGTCGTTTTTGCCCCCCAGCCGTGACTTATGATCATTCAAACTGTTGACTCTTTATGGGGGAAGTTCCGAAGCAGTTGGTCAATAATGAACAATTCGTATCTGACCTAAGACTGATAAAAATAGACTGATAGATGCCAGATTTGGACTATATCGACTACTTCCTATACTTTATATGAAGTATGTTCAAATTTTTAAAAAAAGGTGGAGATATGCGTGAGGTAATGGTAGATAAAGATATTTGTATGCGCAAAGTTGCAAGAAAATCGAACATTTATAACCAATTTTATGCGAAATCATAAATTCCGATAAATTACATATTCATATCAGATTTCTTGTTAAGAGATATATTTAGATACAGCAAGTTATAGATATAAGTATTGGATATAATTTGTAACAGTATTGGAAATTGTGACCCTTTGTGGGTGAGGTACCAGAAGTGGTTGGCAGATGTATCATCTTAGCAAAAATATTTGGATGTGCGAAATTTGAAGGAGTTGGATGATTTTTCGCTTTCTTTGAGAGTTTTGTTTTTTTTTTTTTTTAATTTGAACCCTATGTGGGGAGGTACCTGAAGGAATGATGCGATCTCTACCATCTTGTGTTGATGGAAATATTGAGATGTAACAAGTCTGAATGTTGACCCATTATGGGGTCAAACCAGGCCATCATGGGCTAATAAAAATATTGTGATGTATGTAATTGGAAGAGAACCGAATGCTTATTTGGGATTTTATGATCGTTTTGGTTATTCAAAATTTTAACGATTTGTGGGAGAGGTACCAGAACGAATGGTCCGATCTCTACCATCTTTATTCCGGATCTTGTGTTGATGGAAATATTGAGTTGTGCCAAGGAATGAATGGAAAGAGATGTTAATTTCGGGTTTTACCTTTATTCAGACCTTCATGTATATTCAAAAAGTTGACCAGGAGGTACCAGAAGGAGTGGATCGATATATTCCATTTTCACACCAGACCTTGGAAGAATAAAAATATTGTGATGTGAGTAATTTGAATAAAATTGGAATCTTATTTCACATTTTATAAGAGTTTGTTTTGTGGGGGAGGTATTGGATCGAGTAGACCGATATTGGCTATTCTCGCACCTGATCTAGCACTGATGCAAATAAATTATATTTACAAAGTTGGAGCAAAATTGGATTATCCTTTCTCTTTCTGTGCAGTAAATTATTTTCTTTGAAAATATTGACATTTTGTGGGGGACCAGAAGGAGTGGACCGATATTGCCCATCTACGTTTGACAATAGTATTTCGATGTACCACGTTTGATAAAATCGGATACTCCCTTCGAAAGTTATCGCGCGCACCAGCCAGACAGACAGACGGACATCGCTAGATCGACTGAGGGTATAATTAGTGTTGTAGAAGTACTGAATTATGTCTAAAACATAATCAAGTTTTAACTATCAGAAGGGAGTTATTTTTCTTTTAAATATAGAACGTAACCAACTGTAATTTACAACAATTAATGTTGCGTACACGAAATTACATACCTGTCGCATTTTAGCCAACGTAACGAAGATAATTTTCTTTTAAATTGCGTACCTGCCTTTAGGAGCAATTAGTACTGTGCATAAATAGCAGATAATTTATCACACAATTACATAATAAACAACTAATTAAAATGTAATGCTAACTAAGTCGCTAATTACGAATGGATTTAAAGTAGAATAAACTAATAAGAATAGTAGCACAACGTGATAACCTTATCTTGTTATGTTTTCCTAAAGACAAATGGCTAAAGTTTGAATTAAAATATAGCGCGTTTTACAGTTGACTGCGTTGGATTGTTCGTACATCGTTTCAAGACAGTTTATTTCATTACAAAATGATAAGTTTCTTTACGCACTTCATAAGAAATGAGGGCTTTAATACATAACTTTATATTTGTAATACATAGGCCTGTAAAACATGAAAAGATAAATGGGTTATTTGGGGACTAGAATAGACTTAATAAAAATATTTTAATGCAGTGGTATGATTTCACTTATCCAAATTAATTTTTAATGTTTTCGCTTGTTAATCAAATAAACCCAAATTGCAATTTCATCAAAACCTTGCAAAAAGCAAGAGCCTTCAGCAGAATAGAACGAAAAGTGTTCATTCCAAAATTAATTTGAGTAGAAATTCTATATGTCTGATTATTTTAGTTGCAGCATTGCATCGAACGGATTTATAGATGTTCGTCTTTCTAACTTTAGCTAATATGCAAATTCAAAATCTAAAGTCTATGAATCTACTTAAACATTCACCCAATGGAAACTTCTAGTAATGGCACTCAGTTTATTAGGTCATATCAATATTAAGTTACAAGTTTAGATTATTTTAAAACAATTTTCTACTCGGTTTTATTATAGGTATAATTAAATTGTAATTTTTAAAACATCTGTGTCTCATTAAACAATTTCCTCTTTAATAGTAATTTTTATTTGAAATTACTTGTCATTAGGGATTACATATTTGGAAAGGAAATGAGAAAGGCAAACATTATGGCCAGTAACATAAGAATATTTGAGATTTCTTAGTTTTATGTGCAAAAAAAAAAATAAACGTAAACTGTGCATTTTAATTGACATGCCTTCATGTTTCGTCAATTACGTCTTTTTAAACATTGCATCTCTAATAACGATGTATATTCTTGTGATCTTCGAACTTTTTCAGCTGATGCAAATTTGCCCACCACAATTGTAAATGATTGTTTAATATTAGCTTAAACCATGGTGTCAAGGGGGCATCGAATTTTGAGATCTCCTCATCAATATTCTCACGTTTCACAAAACGAACATCGCTCACTTCATTCATATTTGGTTTGATGTCGACATCTTTCTGCAAAAATAGAATGTAGTCGATCTCATGTTCACCCCATACACCATCTCCAGTATTGGCATAATGAATCCTTGTCAAGTAGTGGAAGTTTTCTGGTCGTATTTGGTTGGTAGGTATGCCCAGCTCATAGTTCAGTCTTCGTTGGGCAGCCTTGCGTATGCCAAAACAATTCACTTCCTCTCGTTCCACTTCGATTTCGTGCAAAGGATGACTGCAACAGGCATTTGTATAGGTACTGGGGAATGTGATCTGAGCAAAAGAATAACAACAAACAAGGTGAAAGTCATCATTAAGTAAATAAATAATTAATGTATTTGTGTATGGCTTACAACTCACCTTATGATCTGACCTCTTTTGAACCAACATTTCTCCCTTCGTATTGAATAGAAACACAGAGAAAGCGCGATGTAATTTGACTTGTTTACTTTGTGGATCTACTCGGTGACAATCCGCCTTGGAAGTATGTCCAATAACTTGGTCATTTTCATTCACCAAAATGCATTGTTCCTCCAAAGCCAAGCGTTGCAATTCGTCGTGTTGTTTTGGTTCCGATACCGAGGCATAGCTGACACAACTCCTGTTTGCCGCCCTCAGCGGTTGACAAATGCGTCTGGTCAATGCTGTAATCATTCTGGCAGAACTTGTAATCATGTCCGCCTTCACTTGGGGAGCACCCTTTTAAAGCAAAACAACGAAACAACTCGCTAGGGTTCTAGAGTGTCGAAACAGTCTGTCTTATTTTATCTCAACAAAACAGCTGTTTGTTCACTCACAGAACAAAGGAACGAGAGCCAAATTATATTTATTAAGCAACAATCAAAAGACAACTTTAACCAAAAAGTAGATATTATTTAGATTTTTAACTATATTTTCGAATTGATAACAACTGTAGAAAAATATCAAGGTATTGTGGACCTACCAGCTGACTTCAATTTTTTTCTAAGTGAGTTCGACTTCTGAAAATGAAAACGAGTAAAAAAGCTGTAAGTTCGGCCGGGCCGAACTTTGAATACCCTCCACCGTTTAAAAAGAATTTGGCAATTTCAAAATAATAAAATCCGTTAATAATTCTGCTAAAATCTTAAGAATATCGAATGTAGCCGTTATATTATCGTAAGCCACTACAATACTCAAAAGCGAAACTAAAAAAAAAATCGGTGAAAAATGTAATCAAAATACTGAATAAAGGGAGCTATACCAAAACGTGGAAATGCACAGACAATTTTTTGTCATAAGCTGTTGTATCCGAACTTTAAATACCAAATTTGAAACGATTGCGGCGAACAATATCGCTAAAATCATCAAAGTACCGAAAATAGGGATGTACCATTATATGGGGCTATACCAAAACGTGGATCTACATGGCCCATTTTCAATACCAAAAGTCCTGCAGACATAATATAGATTTGAGTAAATTTTTATCAACTTACCTCATTTCGTTTCGACGGACATCGCTTAATCGACATAGAATTTAATGCTGGTCAAGAACATATATTGGAAAAATTGGAGCACAAAGTAAGTAAAAAGACAATGTACGAAATTGAACTTTTAGACAGTAAATTATCTATTGGCAATATTCACCCAACTTTTTTAGTCGATAGCAAAAACGTACGTTAAATCTATTTTTCGAATCTATGAATGAATAAGTCCTCTCGAAACACTTCGCTCATAAACTAGCCCATGGTAGAAGAATACATTGATATGTCAAAAAATTCTTCAAAAATAATTATATTTGTATATGTTTTCCTATACGACTGCAATCGGAGGATGTAAAGATTACCATACAGCAATATCTACAAACTTAAATAATTTTTCATTCAAAAATTTCAATTCCAAAATTGGTTTGACAATTCATTGTCCCAGCAGCTATGTCTGTGCGACTACCTGTATTCTTCTACCATGTACAAGACATTAAAAACACTGGAACACTCTGTGTGTATATATTAAAAAATAGCTGCTCCTTTTTAGTAGTCTCGTGTAGAGATTCTTGCATGTAGAGGAACAAAGCCATTTACTTATGAAACAAGATTGGCAACTCTTAGCACACAACGCCGTCGTTCCATATCGTACCGACTACGTCTTCAAAGAGTGTAGTGTACATTCAGATTTATCAGAATTTATTGGTAGTGTTTTCTCACAATTAAAAATGGTAAAAACGCCCATTATATTATTGAAAATAAGCATTTTCATTTAATATTTTCATCTATTCCATAGATACGATTCATTCTGATACAAAACAGGGCTGGAAAGACCCGTTTAGCCAAATGGTATATGAATTTTGATGACGATGAAAAACAAAAACTTATCGAGGAAGTTCATGCTGTGGTGACTGTGAGAGATGCAAAACACACAAATTTCGTCGAGGTTGGTTGGGTCATTGATCTGTATTATCGGGACATTGGATTAATGCTTTTGTAATTATTTATTCAAATGCATTCTCTTTGCAGTTTCGTAACTTTAAAATCGTCTATCGTCGCTATGCGGGTCTCTACTTTTGCATATGTGTCGATGTGAACGACAACAATCTGTGCTACTTGGAGGCTATACATAATTTCGTTGAAGTTCTAAATGAATACTTCCACAATGTGTGCGAATTGGATTTGGTCTTCAATTTCTACAAAGTGTATACAGTGGTCGACGAAATGTTCCTCGCCGGCGAGATACGGGAGACTTCACAAACCAAAGTTCTTAAACAACTGTTGACATTGAATTCCTTGGAGTAGATGCAATTTGTTCTGGTAGTGTAGTTATCATTCCACTATGTCTGTATGTATATTCTGCATCTCGGACCGCAATCTACATGCTTACAGAAATATTTTTGTATTATAATGTTTTTCTAGGAACAATACTATCCTTTCGAATCTTGATTTAGTTTATAATTTTTGCCTTTTTGGTTACAGTTATATAGCATATACAAGTATAACTTAACAAAAAAAATTCTATGTATTCAATATTGTGTAGCGTAAATACACAAACCGAGATTTATGCGTCGTTCAAATATAAATAAATTATTGATATTGTTAAAAGTATTAAAGAAATAATATTATTCGTTTAAATTGGTAACCCACGGCCTACTGGGCACCGTGATGGGATAAAAGCTATTTCTCAAATATTTCACGATAATTCTCGTATAGAATCAAACTAGTTTTCACACGAAAATGAGCCATATTCCTTCCGCATAAGCCAATGTATACATGACCAAACCAATGAATTCTTTATTACGGGCTCAATCAAAAACTTAAAAAAATACAAAATTAGAAACTATGATTTACGTAGAGCATCTTATAATGTCAAATCATAATTGTTAAATTGTGCCCGCTGATGCAATAGCGCCAGTTAGTCTGATCGAAGGAAATAATGTTCAGGAAACTTACTTTTAAAAATAACATAGCAAGTGTTCTGTTCCATAACTGCAAAAATGTGAAAGTTTTTACTACGAGAATTGAGTTTTCTTTTAAGATACCGAAGGAAATTGCAAATTACTTTGTCAAGGAGATACTCAGAAGTTGCTAGGTTATTCATTTTTATGTAAAAAAAAAAATAATTATTTTTTTTTTTTTTTGTTTTTAATAACAAAAGAAATTTTAACAACTTTTCAATTGATAAAAGTTACAGAACAGGCTCACTGATTGAGTTTCCTAGGATTTGTTGGACAAATACTTGTCAGGAAATCCAGCTTTCTTTTACTGGATACTTTTGGGTTAACAGACAGCATCCTGTAAAATTTGGTAAATATTAAAAACATTGGCGTAATTTTCTAAGTATTGCTCTGTTTTAGAACTTCAAGAATCTACTAATTTAGCAAGTTTTATCGATGCCATAAAGGGAAAGTCTATTATCGTAGTAAAAAGTTCTACAATACAAATGGAACAGAGCACATATTTAACGACAGAATTAACAACACTTACCGATAACATCAATGTTTTTGTTTCATTGCAATTTTTTTATTCATCAATTAAATTATTAAAATATATTTCTTCTAGTTTTCCTACTAAAGAAGCCTGCACAAAATTTATGTAAATCGGTAATTTCTGAACCAGTTCTGATCCAAAACCTGTAATATAGTACTAAATTGTACTAATTTAATTTGTTTACTTCAAACCTTCGTGGTTGGGCAGAACTTTTCCATCACAGCTAATTTAACAATTCTTTCTTATACAATTTTTGGCCTTAAAAAGTATCAGCATTTTAGGTCTTTGTTATCGTGACTGGAATTCACTTCTAGCTCTAGGAAAATGTGAAGTGAAAACTTTCAAAAAATATTAAGAAGGTAAAGTCATGCAAACATAAGTATGTTTAATTTTTTTCCAAATTGTTAATTTAACAACATCTTATTGTCAAAATATATATTTATAAATCCATTGTATATTCATAATTCGAGATGGAAGCCTATATTCTATGCACTGAAATTTGACAAGATAAATTGCAGAAAATGTTGAGATGGAAATGCTTATTTGAAATTGCTTTACCATCTTCATTTTAACAGGAAAACCCCTTTAAAAGAAATGTTTTCCATTTCAAATTTTCATAGAACAAGAATGAAATATGTCCTTAATTTTTGCAACTATCGAAATTGGACGATAAATCGTACGGCATCACGCATATATCCAATAATCCAATATCAGCTTTAATAACCGTTATTCACATTCAACCATCGTTAAGTATTTAGCTTCGTTGAGTTGTGTTGTTGTGTTCATCGTCATCGCCATCTTTTGTTGGAAGAATTTTTTGCCTGTCGTCAGAGAAATTGAACTTTTTGATAATTACGTGTTTAAAAGTTAGCGCAAAAAAGATCAGTTCCAAAAAAAGATAAACACGCTCTGCTCGAAATAAATTTTTGTGAATTATAACTAGAGCCGAGTAATTCAGCTCGTATTCAATTACCAATTACTTATCGATAGAAAAACGAAAAACATTTTTTGTCCACGTCAAACGGGTGACAAAAGTGATTTGCAAGTATTGTGTATGTGTGTGTTGTGTGTGAGCTAAGTTGAGCGAGAAATAAAGAGAGAAAATAAAATACGAAAAAGAAATACTAGAAAATTAGTGCGACGAGAATATTTAGAAAAAATTACTTTTCTTCTGTGCGGTTTTAAGGAAAATATTGTAAATTAACATCCCAAATTCCCACAACAACACAATAACAACAATGTCAGCTGTAAACCCAGAATAGTAAGTGAACAATGGAAATGAAAGAAAAACAATCACACAAAAATTTTGATTTCGATATTTTTTCTGTGTCTACATTTGACGAAATTTTGCACAAAGAATCTGTAGAAGAAAATTCAATGTAGAATGAATTTTGCGACGTCATTTTTTGTTGAACCGAAGAGGAGTATTTGCTTTGTTGTTTGCATGGATGCCTCGATAACAATCATGGAAATGAGAATGGCCCACTCCCTTTTTCATTTTCACAAGAGTGATAGAACAATGGAACAAAGTGCCAATGAAAACATAATCGGATGTCCAATTTTCAAAAGGGGGGAAGCACAACACATCAATTTCGGATATAAATTAGAGGGAAATTTATTGGAAATCGAGTTTTTTTCGTTTCATCAAAAGTGCATCGGGGGATTATTGTAACCTTTGACAATCGAGAATGAATGGAAAAAAAGTAACTTTAATAAGGGGCGGATGAGTCACGGGCTTACGTCTTTTGTGTGTTAATTGCGTACTTGCCGTACGCCAAGGCCTTTATTAAGGCCTTTTTATGTTTGTTGTTTGATTCGTAGTGCATTAAACATAGATTTGTTATATTTAGTTGTTAACATGTCTATGTGGTTAACATATTTATGTAAAGAAATTTTGTGGACTCCAATAATGGACCATTTCTCGACTTTGTGGGGGTTCTATAAAAATAGGTCCAAAATACGTTAATGTGACGGACTTGTTGGGTAGTTATTTTCATATTATCCATATCGGTTTAGTAGATATGCGTCTAACCCGGACTTTCGCGTCAGATATCTGGGTCCGTCCCTCAAGAAAAAAATACAGTCAAGTTACAAGAATAACCACTTCTGGAAAAAATTTTTAAAAAATCGGAGGGTTTTTACTAGCATAGCATAGTAACATATAATAGAGCATTCTCTTTGTTTCCGTCTACAAAAGATGTGAATTCCACAGACCAATCCGGCTTAACACTAGTTTAATCAAAAAACTTTTCGTTTTTTCGATATTTCGAAAAGCTATAATTTGGCATCAATTGTGTGGTCAAAAAATCGCTAATTTCATTTAAATCATTTGACCACTTGTTGGATAGGTATTTTAAAAGGTATTTTCAAACGATACCTATATATTGTATATATCCGGGTCTAGGCCGGATCTTGAACTCGGACTTTCGGGTCCGTCTCCCAAGAAAAAAAGTTTTCCGGAATCAGGGAAAAATACCAACCTCTGAAAAAAAATCCGAAGAGTTTTTACTAAACTAGAGTTGTAGAGAGAATATTTGTCCTCTCCAGTAAAATTATACCCATTCAAATACATCATCCAGTAAAACGGTTCAAGTTTATTGGGAAGCGCAAATCTTTTTCTTTAAAAACTCCACTGAACTTACTTTCCAACAATAATTTGAATTCTTATCGAGCTTTTTTTTAAGAAAACTCGAAAATTTTTATTTTTTCTTAACCATGCATTAAATAAATAAAACTTTTCAATTTGCTCGAGGTATGAAGTATGTTTCTGCAAAAACTAACAAAACAGATCGGCAAAAGAATCTTAAATTGTGCGAATAGTTTGCCGCCTAAAAGTAGTTTACTAAACTATTTGTTAGATAGAATTAAATTGTATTAAAAATGAAATGTTTAATCAAAGAAAATAAAGTTCGTTTTCGAAAGAAAATAAAGTTCAAACATCCCTTTTTTCAAGTTTTTTTTCCATATCTATGAATAACTTATATTTCGTAGAGCCGGCGAACTTAACGCCAAACATTATCAGATAAGAGATTTGTTTATCAATGAATGCGTCATTATCACCAAACTATGTAATTCAGCTGTGAGACTACACTCAAACTACCACCCATGGCAGAATACATTTAGATACATCAACGCATGAGAACAGTGATATGTCAAAAATTTATAAATGATTTTTCAAAAACAAACAGATTGCTCTAAGTTTCTCACACGACACCAATCGAATGTTGTTATGATATGCATTTTTCTAAAAATTTTACAAATTTAAATAATTTTTCATTCAAAATTTTTAATTTAAAAATTGGTTTGACTGTTCATTGTCCCAGCAGCTGTGTCGATGCGACTACCTGTATTTTTTTACCATGCTACCACCCCATTTAACTCGTTTAATTTCTTTATCAATATTACCATTTTTTCAAAGGCCCCCTGTTGATTTGGCCCCAAATTGTCAACCAGTTTATTTTGTTTGCATTTGCTTTGTGCTGTTTGTAATGTGTATTTTTGTTGTTTCGTTTTTTTTCTTTCATCTCTTCTTCTACGAACTTTGTTCAGCTGTCATGTTTCTTTTTTCTATGTGGCCTCTCACTTTTGAAACGTAATCAATTTCTCTCGTTTGGTGTCTTTGTTTTCTATAAAATTTGTTTATAATTACATCTTGCGATGCACTTTCTTGCAATAAATGCAATCTTCAATTCTCTGGGCGAGGGGAAGAGGGTTCAAATTTTTTAATGTGGCGATCAATATATATTCAATACGCATTTTATGGAAAACAAAAACAAAGGAATGTTTTTTTATAAAATGTGTTCATTCACAGAAGCTTTGTCTACAACGTTTTTTTAACTTGTATCACGTGTTCTATTTAATTTGGCATGATTAAAAATTCTCCAGTCGTGTTGCTACATTAAGACACATTATTTTTTGTGAACCAGTTTGTGGCATAAATAAAATAAATAAAATAAATATTTTATGACTTCCAAAAATTGTGGCTCTGATTTGTGAAAAGTTTTTTGAAACGCCTCAATGTCAGAATTTAAAATTTATTTTATGTCATGTTTATACGAAGTATTTCAAAGTCCTAGTTAAAAATAGCTAAAATATGTCTAAGCTAATGATACATCTGTAATCTGTTCCCATATTAGTAACAACATGGCACTTTAAATATAAACTAAATTGTATAAAATCTAGATCCAACATGTCCTTTTGAACCCATATTAATTTTATATGAAATTCCATGTTTTGCATCTGTATTTTTTATTTTGCCCTTTCAGTGAACAAATTCGTGCAATGCATTCTTACTATACTGCCATTTCGATGGCGTCTCCCCATTTGTTTTAACTGACATAAGGAAATATTTGCAAGATGAAGTCATCGTTGACTAATAGCACAAAACTATAGTAGAATATTAAAAATGTTCACATGTATTGTTTTGGGCAGATAAGTTGTAAAAGGTAATTATATGGGAAACAGAAGCTTTAACGATATTACAGAAATAAACTACATCATTGTACAAATTTAGAACATTTTACAAATCAAGCCGCTTGACCTTGGGTTTTATTTTTGGCTAGATTTCAAACGGCTTTGTCCCTTGGTAGGTAGCATTTTACCATAAATCTTTTGTTGTTGTACAAACATTTATGCATATCAATATTTGTTATAACTGCTGCCTTATCTTGGGGCTACATATGTGCTTTGACTCATATACTGTATTCGGTCAGGGAAAACACCAAGAATTTATGAATAACGAACTTGAATGAGTCTTCGTGAAATGTGAAAAAAGTCATGATTAAAATTGAGTTGTGTTAAATATATAAGCTATAAAATGATTAAGTTAAATGGGCAAAAGTTAAAATATAATATATTTTTTTCAAACTTCTCTTTCAGTGATTATCTCTTCAAACTGCTCTTGATCGGCGATTCAGGTGTTGGAAAATCATGTCTTTTGCTCAGATTTGCCGACGATACATACACAGAGAGTTATATCAGTACAATTGGTGTAGACTTTGTAAGTTTAATTTTTTTTACATGATAACAACACATATGCTCTAATTCATTTGCTTTTACAGAAAATCAGAACAATCGAATTAGATGGAAAAACTATCAAGTTGCAAATCGTACGTATCAAGAATATTTTCATATCTTTATTGGTCATTTAATTGTATATTCTTAATCTTACTTAGTGGGATACTGCCGGTCAAGAACGTTTCCGCACCATTACTTCATCTTATTATAGAGGCGCTCATGGTATTATTGTCGTTTACGATTGTACGGATCAAGAATCTTTCAACAATGTCAAACAATGGCTGGAAGAAATCGAGCGATATGCCTGTGAGAACGTGAACAAATTGTTGGTGGGCAACAAGAGCGATCTAACGACCAAGAAAGTTGTTGATCACACCACAGCTGCGGTAAGTTTTGAAAACGTTTTCTTGCTACTGATACCATTCTACATGAGTCTGCAAGATTTGTCACATCATACACAAAATATTAAGAAGCAATAAGTTTAATATAAAATGGAATAATGTAGGCCGTTATTGCGGACGGATATGAACGCTTTAGCATTTAGCTTGTCGTACTCATAGTATATTTTAAAATGTTCGTCTTATTTTTATACCCTTTGCCATATTGCTGAGACAGTATATATCATTTGATACGGCCAAAACGTGACTCATTGTCACAGTCTCTTTGGACCAAATCTGTTTCAGGACATTTGGAGTCTAGCGATATTCGTCCGTCCATCTGTCTGTCTGGCTGGCTGATGCGCTCTTGAAATGGTACCCGATTTGATCCAAACTTGGTACATCTTAATGTTATTGTCAAACTTAGATTGAGTTCGGTGATGGGCAATATTTCGATATAAGTATCCGGTTCTCTTCAAATTACACACATCACAATATTTTAATTAGCCTGGTGTGAAAATGGTGTGAAAATGGGACATATCGGTCCACTCCTTCTGGTACCTTCCCTACAATGGGTCAAAATTTTGAGTATCACCGAAGCTCACAAAACGCGAAAATAACGTCCGATTTCATTCAAACTTGATACATCTCAATATTTTCATAAACACAAGATCTGTTATAAAGATGTCAACATTTACTGCACAGAAAGAGAAAGGGTAATCCGATTTTGCTCCAACTTTACAAATCCTAATATTTGCATCAGTGCTAGGCCAGGTGCGAAAATTGACAATGTCGGTCAACTCCATCCAATACCTCCCCCAAAAAGGGTAAAAATTTTGAATAACTACAACTCTTATAAAGTGTGATGTCAGTGTCCGATTGTCTTCAAATTACACACAACACAATATTTTTATTAACATAGGGTCTGGTGTGAAGATGGAATATATAGGTCCACTCCTTCCGGTTCCTCCACCACAAGGGGTCCAAGTTTTGCATAACCAAAACGATCATAAAATACGAAATAAGCATCCGGTTCTCTTCATATTTCACACATCACATTATTTCTACTAACACAAGATCTGCTATAAAGATGTTAGAGATCGGTGCACTCTGCTACCTCCCTTACAAAGGTTCAAAATTTTGAACATCAATGATTTTCATAAAACGAGATATTGACATTCGATTTCATTCAGACTTATTACATCTCAATATTTCCATCAGCACAAGGATCGGTTATAAAGATGGTAAAGATAGGACCATTTTTTCTGGTACCTACTCCACACAGGGTTCAAAATTTTCTAAATGGCACTCATAAAACCAGATATTTATATCAAAATTTTCAAAACCATCTCTTCAAATTTCACACATACAAATATTTTTGCTAACACAAGATCCGTTGTGAAGATGATATATATCTGCGAACCCCTTCTGGTACCTCACCCACAAAGGGTTACAATATTCAATACTTTTGTCTGTTATAACTTGCGAAATAGGACATCATTTCTTTACAACTTGCTATACCTTAATACTTAACCATAAATCTGAGGTATATATATTTATATCATACTTATTTAGTTCCGATACAAAATGGACAATATTGGTCAATTCCATCGATACCTACTCCATAGAGGGTCAATAATTTAAAAATCATAACAGAAGTCAAAATATATTTAAATAATCAAACATTGGCTGAGGGTATATATCTATCGACTAAGCCGACTTATACTTTTTAACTTGTTTTTTTAATTCATCGAGCTTGAAATATCATCTTTAGATAATGGTTCTAGCTTCATTATGACACGAATTTAAATATAATGGGATTTTCCAGATTTCGCCCGTTGCGTTAGATAGCAATTCAATTTTAGTTAAAATAATATATCTTTCTCATATACACTCGAAAAGGCGTTTCCCTACATTTCCCATTTTAAAAATTCGAACAAAGTTCGAGCAATTCTTGATACCTAACCCCTCCCCTTATTATTATATTATATTATTATATTCAATATAAAGGCAAATTTACGAATCAATAGTTAAACAAGGAGACCAACATAAACAAGTTTATTAGCTGATTTTTAATTTTAAATTCTAATTTTCCCCCCTTCTTCCACTTTTAGGAATATGCAAGCCAGTTGGGCATTCCATTCCTTGAAACTTCAGCCAAAAGCGCCACGAATGTTGAACAGGCCTTCATGACAATGGCTGCAGAGATTAAGAATCGTGTTGGACCCCCATCCAGCGCCACTGAAAACACTAGCAAAGTTAAAATAGATCAAGGGCGTCCAGTGGAGAATACCAAGTCCGGTTGCTGCTGAATAACTTCTACTCCCCAACTACTTGTGAATCATTATTTTATTATAATATATAAAAAAAGAAACCAACAACAACAAGAAAACCAACAAACAGTAAAAATATAATAAATTCAAAAAACTGAAAACACAAACACACATTCATAACGAATAATAATAATAATAATAATAACAACAACAATAATAATAATGATTGGTACAAGCATCATAATTAAACTATTGGAAGCCTAAAACAATAGTTGACTTGCAAATTCAAAGATAATGATCGTAATGAGGAGAGATTTTCTCCAGCTATCTGAAGAGTGACTTCCATTCATAGCTGGCGATATGGATGTGACTGGTGGTCGATTCTTTACATATGTATTTTGATGGACACAACAACATGATATATAAGATTATTTTTTATTTTAAACAAAATGTGTAGTAGCTAAATACAACCAACAACAACAAAATAATATATATACATAAATGATAAAAGGAGGAAACAACACAGACACATACACCAATTCAATAATTAAGGACAGGAGGTTACAGTTTTAAAAGAAAACTCTAGCATAAGTTTCTGCATTACAATATTTTTAAATCTTTCTTTAGAGATTCTTTAATAGACGTCCCCAATCTGCACTCTCAATACAACTCCAACTGTGTGTGTGATATTGTCAGATGCTATTTAAAGGCCTTTTGGGTGTTGTTTCATATTCACTATAATTTTACACTTCCTTCCGTCTACAGCAATGTCGTGTTTTTTTCTATTCTTTTTTCTCCAACGCTATCCCTACTATTAATAAATTGCGATTCTCTTATTTTTTAATAATAATTTGTGATGTGTAACAAGTATTTACATTAAAAACCAACGTACGTTCATTTAAAACAAAATAAAATTAGTTTTAGTGTTTTGTTTCTTCTTCGGCTTCCTTGAGTCCTGTCTTTTGGTTTCTAAGCACCAATTTAACTAGCTCTCGTTGTAATTAGAGTAATTACTACCAACATTTTTTAGTTTACCGAAAGCAAAAACAAAAAAAATAACCAAATTATAAGAGTGAATGCGGAAGATTCGAATTAGGAACATCCAGACGAAATTAGGTAACAATACAATAGCAAAAGCAAAATACCTACCTTAGTTTGCAACGTAAAAACAAAACACACTTATACATAATTACAAATAATTATTCTCTGAATATATATAAAAAATAGATCGTAAAAACAACAACAACAAATCGATTATATATATTTAATATACATTTTCAAAATAAAACACAGTATGTTTTCTTTATCCTGGTATCGATGCTTTCAACCATTACAATGTTACCGAGTAGTAGGACTTTTTTCTTTCTTTTGTTCCATTCCTTGCTCCTGCATGCATGCGTACGTACGTACGTACCCTCCAACAAATTCTTTTGTCTTTCACAAATGATTTATTCTTTTTTTTATAATTTTATATTTTAAATAAGGGTTCAAATAAAATATATAAGAAGTATTTAAAAACAAGTTTTATGTTGAATATCTTTTTTTTTCAATGTATTGAAGTCTCAATTCAATGGAATAAAATTTGTGGGCTAAGTTGTCGATATTTAAGATTCCTAAAAGTTGGTACAACATTTCAGGTGAATTTGTTTTTCTAAATGGCGTGCAATTTTTGTGTTCGAAATATGTAGCAGTGATTTGAAACAATTCCCTTCGGAATTATATCATGAAATAATCTTTATAAGAGCCTAAATGTATGCAACATTTTGACAAAATAATGTGTGGTATGTTTTGTGATAAGTACGAGTAAAGACGAAAATTAAATGATCAAGTTAATGCTTTAAATTTATATTGAATTGTTAATACAGTCAATGCCTTCTAGGACTGTTGTAAAAATCTGGATTCGAGTGAGGGTAACCCAAATATAATTAGAGGGAGTACATATCCATTGACTTAGACAAAGAAAAGTGGAAGAGATGTTAATGATCCAGACTATATAAGGACGGACAAGAGGACTATTTTTGACAATGAACTTTTAATACTTACCCCACACTTATCCATATTAAGACACAGATCTGGAGACATCCTTTTTCACATTTTATTATACACAGGTAATTAATTATATCCTAACCATATTTTTCTTTTATATAATTTTAGGGCATGCATATGCATTTAATTCTGTTTGTATACTTATATTGGAAGCAATCTGTTATTATACATATATTTTTATGTTTTTTGGGTTAAATATTTTTTTATCAATTAAAATACAATGTGGTCAGAACGGCAGTGGTGCTCATATCCGTTATGGCTGCTGCCAATGAATGCGACTCTGGCAGCGGGGGTGGTTTGCCACTATTTCCGGTCGTTGAAGTGGATGTGGACGCACTGCGCCATGTTATTGATGTACGTTCGGTGCCGGATGACGTCGATATCGAATTAACTAGAAAGGTTGCCTCTCTTCTAAAGGGACGCCTAGACCGCAAGCTGTGGCTGTTGGCCATATTGTTGGCGTCACGTTTGGTGTATGTGGTGATGTGTCGATTACAAAGTCCTCTTTTCCGCTTGTGGCTGCTGCAACAGGATAGTAGAAGGCGCCAGAAACCAGTACGAAATTTGGATGACATTAAATTGTAGAGGATGGGATTGAGGGCAGAGTTCAGATACAACATAATTCGACAAAAATACAAGACATTATAGTAGCCCTCCAGACCCAGGGCGATCACGTCTTTTGGCGGACTAGCAATGATCCATATTGTGAATGCCCGAAAGGGTAACAGGCAAATGAAGAAACTGGCAACCACAGCCACGAGCATGAAGATGACTTGCTGGCGATGTTTGCGCAAATTATTGTTTTGGGGATGGCTGTTGACATTGGTGGTGGTACCGCGTCGGTGGGCAAGGTGCTGGCTGGAGGATGGCGTGTTATTTATACCTGAAGGTGACAATGGTGGATGTGATTGTGGGGAAGTTGGCCGCTGAAATTCGGAATGTCGCCGCAGCAATTTATAAGCTATGGCTGTGTAAAGCAGAACCAAAATTGCAAAGGGTATTAAAAAGAAGATCGTAATACTGCCAATGAAATAGAAGGCACTCCAAAATGTATCGGCCGCTGTAAAGCATACGGCCTCAACACTGCCATCGTAGTAGGTTTCCAAACGATATTGGGCTATAAAAATAATCGGGCTAAATGCAAAGAGATTCAAGTGAGGTTAGAGTTATTTGTTTTCGATTTCAAAAGAAGTTGCAAAAGCAAAACTGCAATGAATGTTGTATTGTTTTTGTTTGATCTTTTGAGAGTACTTAGCCGATCGTTTCAGTGCATGTCAAGCCAATCATGGATGCAACAATACGAGTTCTGTTTTTTATTTACATGATGATGTGGATGGTTGGGTTTTTCGGCAAAAACTACATTGGTCTCTAAATAAAGTTGTAAAAAAATAGGAAAAAACGAAATGGTAATTTACAAAAATTATTAAAAGCAACAAAGTATCTACGGTAATTATATTACAAATGTTTAACGCAAATATTTATTATTAATTATTATAATATAAACAATTTTAATGATAAATTAAATTTATATGAATATAATATATTCTACTACCTTCTTTCGTCAAGAATAATAGTTAAGAAGCACATTTGTTTGGGGCCAGTTGCAAGGGCAATCTGCAATAATTGCTTCCAGATCCAAATTATGCTCTCATTTATGTATTCCAATAAAAATTGTTCGGCCCGTATAAAATTCTTTTTTTTTTAAATACTTCTGAAGTTATAACTGTCACATCAAAAGTAACCTTGTTTGACATTTCAATAAACATTGCCAATTGACACCATATTATGCACCTACATACACCCTCCTTTATCGAGCTTAATTTTCCGTATTAATATAATAATTTAAGTATTTTTATTGCTCAACATACTATTTTGGAATGCAATCGAAATGGAAATGTATTCCACTGCCTATGTTTTCAGACTACAACACATGAAGACACATTTGTTGCGACGATAATTAATTGTCTATTTAATATTCCAGATGCTAGGAAATTGTTTTAATCGATTGATTTAGAAAATAAAGACCGACACTGTATTTGCTTGTAGTTGTTTTTGTGATTTTGTTTTGTAGAAGAATTGCAATTTGCAACAATGTTGCAAACGCGTTAGCACTTCACATGTAAACGTAAATGCAATTAAAATGTTTGAGTCAATCGATAACAGCGCAAATAATCCAGTATCAGGTGAGAGGGGGTAGAAGTTACACAGAAGTTTCAATTGCCGCCAAATAACTGCACACAGATGTAAAAAAAATATGACTTTGAAAGAATTAGTTTCTGGCGGACCGATATATCACCAGAAAAAATGGTCTGATCTCTACCATCTTTATAACAGATCTTGCGTTTATGAAAATATTGAGATGTTCCAAGTCTTAAAGGAATCGGATGTTAATTCCGTGTCTTATGAGTTTATGAATATTCTAAAATTTTTACCCTTTGTGGGGGGTTTAGAATTTGCAAAGTTTGAACAAAATCGGATTATCCTTTCTCTTTCTGTGCAGTAAAATACATTTATTATGGAAAATTTTGACCTTTGTAGTGGACCGCTATTGCCCACCTCCGAACTCGATCTAGGTTTGATAATAATATTACGATGTACCAAGATTGGACCAAATCGGATACTCCCTTCGAGAGTTATCGTGCGCACCATCCAGACAGACAGACGGACGAACGGACGCACTGCTTTGGATTTGGTCCGAAGAGACCTAGGGTAAGAAACCTTTATGTTATATGCACGTTTTGGCCGTATCAAGTGATATATACCCTCTGTAGCTAATGGCTAAAAAGGATGTCTGAATTGTTTAAATATATTTTATTATAAAACTAAGATCAATATCCGCGCTGATTTCTATTCCCATGGAAAGCACTCCTCTCGAGAGATGAAAAAGGTTATTTTGAAAGGTTATGTAATTTCCTTTTTAATGGGACGACGAAACGAGTGAAATGAGTTATTCTTTTCTTTTTATATTTTAACCACCGTAACTTAGCCGATTTTAATGTTGTGTGGCTTGTTTGTAAAAAAAATTGTTAAGAGCAAATAACCATTGCTCTGATCCAGAGCCTGCAAGAATCTACTAGTTTTGCAATTTCGTAGTTATCGCAGTAAAAACTTTTACGTTCTTGCAGTTCTGAAACAGACCACTTTTAAACAATATGTAGAAAATCGGCATTTAGGGATGGTTTAAACAAACGTCTCTATGCAGACCTTTTTATTTCTCACTCACTTAGTTTTAAAAATCATATTTTATTTCATTATTTATTTTTTAAATTCAAATACACTCCCTTCTTCGTCTTGGGCTATCCCGTGGCAAAATTTCAACAGTTGAGGTGAGGGGAATTGGAGAACACCATATTTTAGTGAATATTTCACTTTTCCATATTTTACTCTCGGTCACTATGGCGTATGAAATGCAAAGCTGGAATTAAAAATAAATCATACGTCACATGTGAATATTTAATGGCATTTCTTACCTTAGAACTTTTTATAGGGTTAACCTACTTTAAGAGGATTTATTTGGTGTATAAATAATGGATATAATAATTTTAATCCAAATCCAGTGGGTTAGCCCGTTTAAATGTAAACGCACTGTAAAGCACTAATTTGACTGTGACTGGAATTAATAAGGCGTTGTAATGCTTTGCTCGCGTACATCACTCAAATAATATTTCTAATTTAATAATTTTTAATTTTACGATTCAAATTGACAATATTCGATATTGCAAATAAATTTGCTACTGTCATTTTTCAGTTAATTGTTCATTTATACGATCTATTGTGCTTTCAATTGGTCGTCGATATTTGTTTTGCCCACTTTGCTGTTATTTACAAATTGTGGACGTTGTTCGTTGAGTTATGACGTTATTAGGGCATTGCATGAAAAGGTGTCATCGTTTTTGTATTCTCTCGCCCCCTCCTTTCAATCGAAGGTGACAATGAAGAGGAAAAATAAATTCTCAATATTTCAAATGTAATTGACATGCATTGAAGTGACGAGTTCGATGACAGACATTTTAAATTGAAAACAGTTTAACGAACTTTTCAATGTTTTGTTGCATAGGAATAAAATCGTAATGACTAGAAAAAATAACTTCTGAAAAATATTGGTTATGGGAAAAATATAAACATGTGTTGTTCACAACAGAGGTATGTTAGTACTAAAAATACAATTATAAATCAAGGGGGAAAATAACATACGACATATTTTTATTATTATTCTGTTTATTATTCATTATTCATATGTTCAACTTAGTTTGAACACAATCGCCAACTATATGATAACCTACACCACTATGCATATTTAGTAGAGCTCCCTAAGAAAATAATTTATTTGAAGTAGAACATTTGGCTTCAGAGCAGTTACATCATTTTTGGTTTCAGGGGGAACTAATATATGGGAGGCATATTCAATTTCCAATCGATTTTCACTAAATTTGACAGAGATATTTTAATCTTTTATACCAAACAAAATTCCTATAGAGTGCATGATATCACTTCGAGAAGGAAAATCTCTCCATTTGGGCTAATATTAGCCATTATTTGCATAACAAACCTGAAATCGGATTAAGGATATATGGGAGCTATATTCAAATCTATATATACCTATATTCAAGGTATAAAACATCTGGTCCCAAATATCATTGTTGTCGATTACATATTACGATAGTGATTTGATGTACTTGCTTCCAGGCTGAATTCGGTCGGATGTGCCAAAATGCATGTCATTTGAGCTAATATTGGCCATTTGGTGCACAATTAACCCGAAATCGGTTTGAAGATATATATGGGAGCTATACCCAAACATAAACCGATCTTGATAAAATTTTGCAAATGTATTTCCGAGCTATATAAGACATCTGGTCCCAAATATCATTCTTGTGGAGTGCATATTACGAAAGTGAGGGACTTTAAACCCCAAATCGGATAAAATATATATATGGGAGCTAGAGCAATATCTGAACCGATTTTCGCCAGGCTGAATTCGGTCGGATGTTCCAAAATTCAGGTCATTTGGACTGATATTGGCCATTTGGTGCACAATTAAACCAAAATCGGTTGAAGATATATATAGGAGCTATAGCCAAACATAAACCGATCTTGATAAAACAAGTAAAAAAACATTAAGTTCGGCCGGGCCAAACTTTTAATACCCTCCACCCTAGGGTAAAAGAACATTAGAAGAAATGTGGCAAAAAACATTAAAATGCCGAATATCGGGAGGTACCGATATATAAGGGCTACACCAACACGTGCACCTATAATTACAATGTTTCGCCACAGGAACTAGGACCCATTATGACCCACAAATACCAACTTTTACACAAATCAGTGAAAAAATGTGGCATAAATCATCAAAATACCGAATATCGGGAGGTACCGTTATATGCGGAATATACCAGAACGTGGACCTATACATGCAATGTTTTGCCACACGCTCAGGGACCCGTTGTGACCTACAAATACCAATTTTCAGACAAATCCGTGAAAAAATGTGGCATAAATCATCAAAATACCGAATATCGGGAGGTACCGTTATATGGGGACTATACCAGAACGTGGACCTATACATGCAATGTTTTGTCACACGCTCAGGGACCCGTTGTGACCTACAAATACCAATTTTCAGATAAATCCGTGAAAAAATGTGTCATAAATCATCAAAATACCGAATATCGGGAGGTACCGTTATATGGGGACTATACCAGAACGTGGACCGATATATCTCATTTTCAATACCAACCATCCTAGGGACAATACACACACTTGTGCCAAATTTCAAAGGTCTACGTCAAATAATGTGGGCTCTATCGTGATTTCAACAGACAGACAGACAGACGGACAGACAGACAGACAGACAGACAGACAGACAGACGGACATCGCTAAATCGTCTTAGAATTTTATGCTGATTATGAATATATATACTTTATGGGGTCTACGACGAATATTTAGAGGTGTTACAAACGGAATGACAAAGTTAATATACCCTCCTACCCATGGTGGAGGGTATAATTAGGCTGAGGTATGTCTGGGCTGTATCTGATATCTGGTATCAGATATCGTTCTTGTGGAGTGCATATTACGAATGTGAGGGACAAATATATGGGAGGTATAGCTATATCTATACCGATTCTCTCCAAATTTGACGTACTTGCTTCTGAATTCGTTCGGATATGCAAAAATTCAGGTAATTTGGAAGGATATTGCCCATTTGGTGCACGATTAACGTGAAATCGGTTGAAGATATATGGGAACTATATTTAAATCTGATTCGATTATCACCAATTTCAAAAGGGGTTCGTCCTTGGACCAAACAAATATTGTTTGCAAAATTTCATCTCAATCGGACCTGCATTTTGTTCACAAGAATACATGGACAGACGGACTGACATGCATAAATCGTCTCAGAAGGTGATTCTATGAAGATCCTCAAAAGTAACTATGAGTCTACCTCGCTTCATTCTCCATGTTACAAACAAATGCGCAAAGACATAATACCCTTACCACTATGTTTTGTAGGGTATACAAATTTTGAACCCTTGTGGGGAAGGTACTAGAAGGAGCAGACCGAAAAGTCCCATCTCCGCACTATATCCTGTTTTGGTAGAAATATTAGGGTATGCTAGGTTTAAAAATAATCCAAAGCTCATTTCATGTTTTATAACGTCATGGACATGGACGAAATGTTGACCAGTTTTGG